TGCAGAAATAACATAAGTAAGATAAATACCATAATAACAACATAAATACGGAAATAACATAAACAAGGACCTTAATAGTCGAAGGTTAAACAATATTTTTTTACGTTCTTCTATCTCTTCCCTCCGGGTGAAAATAAATTGTCTCTATTGCCGTTTAAAGTCTCTAGTGGACAGGTTTGAACAACACAAGGGTGTTTCTCTGGAATTCTCAGGCTTTATTGCTGGGTTAAAGAAGGTTGTTTTAGGGGATATTAAGAGAAGGAAAAACTGTTGTATCGAGTTAAATCGAGTGTCTACAGAGTTAGGTTAGACGCGATGGAACCAACTAGGTCAATGTAAATTCGAGGTTTATAGTGTGTATTTATAGTTGTACTTGTTAATTGGATTATTCTTCGTGCTATGGTTGTATGCCGTGAATACTGATGGATGTTCTTTAAATACACGCTCTTATCAATGTCGGAATAAATTAATGTTTACGCTTGTACTTCTATAAATAAAACATATTGACTCTCTTATCAGTGTATTTTTGTTACATTGCACAAAATTATTCAGAAGATTATCAAACAATTTTAAATCTTGTATTTTTAATTATATGTTATTAACTTTTTTTTAGTTTTGCATTATTAGAATTTCTTAGGTGCTGTGTTTTTAGTTTTAGATTATTAGAAAGTTTTAAGTGCTGTATTTTTAGTTTTACATTATTAAAAATGTTTAAATATTATAATTATTTATGATATACATTGATCTAGGACTATCGATAGTTATATAAAATATAAAGTTTAATTTCAGTTTGATGTTCTTTCTTCTTCCCCTTAATTGTTCTGGATATACTTTAAAAGTTTGCTCTCAATGAGATGAAAATAAAGGAAAATAAAGAACAACCACTGTTTGAACTTTTAATTATGAAAGCTCTATTTAAACAACGTTAAAACTTCTATTAAAAAATTTTAAACTGGCAAAAATGATTTCATATAATATAAACTTTAATTTTATTCCAGTATGTTTTGTTTTTTTTTTTTAAGAATTTTGTATATATTTTTGAGATTTGTTCACTGTTAGGTAATAAAATAGTAAAACAAAAGAAAATGTTTAAATTTTAACTTAAATTATTACCTCTGTCTAGAACAAGTTTAAACTGTTACTGAAAAAGTTTGGACTATTGATAATGATTCTATAAAATAAACATTAATTTTACTACAATATTTTTTGTATCTTGTTTATGAATTTTAGATACATTTTTAAAGTTCACTGTTACACATAGCAAAGTAAATAGCGAAAATTTAACTATAACGTAAATTCTAAAAATCCTGACTAGGTAAAGTTTAAAGTTTAAACTTTAAACTACTATCAAAAAACTAACCTTTTAATCTTAATAATAGTGGTAGTTTAACATCAGAAGTTACACTTCTTTCTGCTGTTTCTTTCATCGTTAGCAAAAATGTACAGAATCCCATAAACTTCATTGGTTAGTATTAAACGGTTGTTCGTGTTGAATCGCCTTTCATATAACCAGATAATATCAACGCTATTCTTTACGATTAAATCCTCGCAGCAAATTGAAACTCGCGGCGTTGCAAACTTTCCTTATTCTCGAATCACAATCAGAATTAACTGGAAAGCAAGAATTTCGTTTCTCGCCGAGGAAAAATCTTTCCCTTTTTCCGTCATCGAATTGGAAAACTGCAAGCTGCCGTTTGTTGAAAAGTTAGATAGAATTGACAGAAAAATTGCGGCAGTCTGAAAACTTATCAAAAATTCCACGTAGCAGGTGTCAAAATGACGCCGGAAACTGCTTGTACCTCGAAATTGCTGTGTCGAAGCTGTTCGCTACACTTTCCGATAAAAAGATAGTTCGTGGACAAAATCGACGTGTAGAGTTGATGCACCGTTTGCGACCACCACAAATGCTTTTATGACTTTAACCAATTTCATTTACAAGATTTTATTTATTTAAGGTGTACTTTATATGAAAGAAATAATAGGAAAGATTTAACATTTCACAGTTTTACGATCACTTAGAGCAAATAACACAAATTAAAGTTTAAATTGTCTGTAAACGACATTAATAGCACATTTGTTGAATATAAACAGAACACACATATTTAATAAGTGGGAAATAGGAAATAAAATGATGCAGTTTTAGGTTTTGAGCTTCCACCGTATGACGGACCTTGTTTTTGAGGTTATGTTCCATCGATCACGTGGGTCGATAATCGATATTCGTGTGACAATCCGTAAATTACAAGAACGCAACGAAAAGAAGAAATATAATGTAACATAATATAAAATATAAAATATAAAACTTACGTGTCCCATATCAGGAATTAAATATAACATAATTAAGAATTAAAAAAGATCACAAGTTTTTTGTATAAAACTTATTTACCATATTATGACAAACCGTATTAAAAATTTCCGATTCGATTTGTGTAACTAAGATAGCTATAATTAGTACGATTAAAATGTAACTTCTCATGCAAGTTGAGGGTGCATTCAAAGAAAAAAGCTGAATTGTCATCGGGCAAGATATCATACCTTTTATTATTTTACAAAAGAATATAACGTCAAGCATTTTTCGTCTATCATATAATGTTTGGAGGTTTAGTTTGTTAAATATTATACCGTAGCTGTGATAATTAAGCGACATGGGAGAACCACTATGTTTGGTGGCAAGCCTTTCAAAACTTGTCCTGAACGCATTCAATATCGCTAATGTGAAAGTTATACTACAGAAACCAGATTATAGTTCCGTACTATAAAATAGGACTAATCAGTGGACATTTTACGTACAAAATAGAGAGAATATTTGAAAATGATGTGGGTAATTTAGAATTAGAAAATTAAGAAATTTGGAGCTTGGATAATTTAGAGATTTTAAGATTTGGATGTTCGAAAATTTTGAAATTTAGTAGTATGAAAATTTGGGAATTTGGAAACTTGAAAAGATGAAGATTTGGAAATTTAGGAGTTAAGAAATTTGGAAAGCCAGAAATTCAGAAATTTAGAAATTTGTTAATTTGTAAATTTGTAAATTTATAAATTTGTAAATTTGTAAATTTGTAAATTTGTAAATTTGTAAATTTGTAAATTTGTAAATTTGTAAATTTGTAAATTTAGAAATTAAAAAATTTGTAACTTCGAAAAATCGAAAATTTAAAAATTTTAAAATTTAAAAATATGAAAATTTGAAAATTTGAAGATATGAAAATGTAGTAATCTGGTAGTCAAAATTTGACAATTTAGAGACTTCAAAATTTGGCAATTCAAAAATTCAAAAATCTAAAAACTTGAGAACTTGAGTATTTTAAAATTTGATAATTTTCTAATTTCTCTAAAAAATTACATTATAATCAGGAAAACCAATTCACAAAATTTCTCAAATCTTAATTCTGCATCATTCCTAATAAATTAAATTCTCTCCATAAAAACCACCTAATGTTATAAAATATTGACCCATGCAACATAATTAAAATGAAGTTCATAACACAGAAATTGAAGAACATCCTCAGAAATTTCAGTTAATTTCAAGCTAATAAAACGATCCGTACCTGATAATTGCTATTAATGTGTTTTCGATCTTTTTCGAAGGATGGTAAACCGATTACCAATTAACCACATTTTCCGTTCATTTCAAGGAATAAATGTTCGAAATAAATCCGGCCTCTCGATCAAGATTAAAATGGACAGAAACACGCGATATAAACACTGTTTATCGGCGTACGTTACTTCGGTAGTCGAAAAGTTTACCAGTATGAAAACGCAACCCCTAAATTTAGGATTTGAACCGGTGCAAATTTTAATTTTAATATCATGCCGCTATTTTAAGCTGATTATCGATTAGTCTGACGGATTACCTGGCTGAACTTCAAGCAGTAAGCTTCGTTTATCCTACTTCGGTCGATTCTTCGCGAGATTTTATTTTAAATTTTCCACGAATTTAATCGTTTCGGTGATCTTGCTGAAAACTGCGAATATATTAAATTAAAAAATTCTGTTAAACATCCTCCTCATTTTTTATAAGGAATTTTGCGTCATTTTTTCAATTTTTGTAGAAAATACATTTCTCAATTATTACGAACGATATTTTCTGTTTTAAAAATTTGTTAAAAAATATGTAAATATTTATAAAAATTATGTAAGGTATAATATTGAAATGCAATATTGTTTCTGATAATTTTATCGAATACGTGTTTGATAAAATATGTACAATTTTATATCGAAATATTTGCAACATTACATAATATGTATAATTGTATCGTTAATGTAAGAGAAATTTAAAATTAAAGTGTTATGAATGATATATTTTTTGTCAAACATTAAGCGTTACAATTAACGGAATAATCGAAAATATTTCTTTTTATCTTATATTGTTTTACAATATTTAACAAAGTTTAATAACAGATAATTTATTACTGTTTCTTTCTTATATTGCTCACAAAAATATGAAAGTGCATATTTTATGAGAGAAAAGAAATATAACGGTAAAAACTGAGACAAAAGTACGACATTCAATTAACGAAATAAACAAGGAGAGCAATCTCAGAAATCCTAAAATAGGAACGAATCTCTGGCGGTAATAGTAAGTAAAGAGAAAGAAAAAGAAGAGGAAACGATCCCCCATCGATATCCGTTCACCTTCTCAAGTTTTCCAGGGTTTTTCCCTTATCGCGAACCCTGATCTAAAACGGTCACCGAGAAAAGGACAACTAAAACAAGGTTACTCCTCCCACCCTACTTTATCGCCGTTTACGATTTCCGGCCGTAGGTATAGCCTCGGTAAAAACATGCTGGTATCCGATGCAATCCTTCCCGTGTTCGCAGAAATCGATACGGTGACCAGATAAACACCATCCGTAGAAATTCGAGGGTTACATTGGCAGAGGTAAAACTACCCCTTACAGGCGTTACGCTATCTGACGTTTAATTACGGCCCAGTGAACCATAATGTTTGTTCCGACCCCTTTTCACGTGAAATCTGAATTCGTGTTTCGCCAACGGTATGGGGAACAAATTACCCTAAACAACGTAATACTTTATTTGAATCTCCGTTAAAAAGTTTGTTCGTTTTTGTTGCATTTACACCAACGGAATACAACTTACAATTACTTATCGACTATCTACCTACTTGTCAAACTATTAACACTTTGAGCGCCATTGTGTTTTTTTAGTTAATTATATATCGTGTACATTCAAGTATACTCTAGCTTTCATGTATCACTGTACGCAGCGATTTTGTTGTGGACAGGCATTCATCGTTTCCTCTTACAATTAAAAATTAATTAAGTGTATTGCAACGAGTGAAAATATAATACTTTTAACTCTTAATCATAGATTCAAAGTTACAATTGTTCTTCAAATTTTTATACAAAAATGTTGAGTTAGAAATTATTTCTATTTAAACGAAAATCAGTTAAGTGGATATCACTTAAATGGAAGCCAGTTAGGTCGAAAGCAGTTAAATAGCATATAGTCAAATGGAAACTAGTAAATAAAAACTTATTAAATGGAAATCAGTTAAATAGAAATTAGTTTAAATGGAAATCACTTTAATGGAATCCAATCAAATAAAAACCGGTTAAATAGAAACTTGTTAAATATAAAACAACTAAAATAAAAGTTTGATAACCAGAAACTAGTTAAATGAAAACCAGATAAATAAGAACATATTAAATAGAAACTAGTTACATGAAAACCATTTAAATAAAAGCTTGTTAAATAGAAACTTGTCAAGTAGAAACCAGTTAAATAAAAGCTTGGTAACCAGAAACTAGTTAAATGGAAACCAGATAAATAAGAACATGTTGAACAGAATCCAGTCAAAGTGAAATTAGTCAAATAAAAACTTAAATAAAAACTAATTAAATGGAAATCAGTTAAATAGAAACTAGTTTAAATGGAAATCAGTTTAATGAAATCCAATCAAATGAAAACCAGTTAAATACAAACTTGTTAAATAGAAACTAGTTAAATTAGAAGCAGTCAAATAAAAATTTGGTAACCAGAAACTAGTTAAATGAAAACCAAATAAATAAAAACATGTGAAATGGAAACTAGTTAAATGAAAACCACTTAAATAAAAGCTTGTTAAATATAAACAAGTTAAATCAAAGCCAGTTAAATAAAAACTTGGTAATCCGAAACTAGTTAAATGAAAACCAGATAAATAAAAACATGTTAAATAGAAACTAGTTACATGAAAACCATTTAAAAGCTTGTTAAATATAAACCAGTTAAATGAAAAACAATTAAATAAAAACATGTTAAACAGAAACCAGTTGTCATAAAATCTCAAAGAAATTAAAAAATATTAATTTTTAATTATTTCGACTATCAATATCCATTATAAAAAAATTTGGCAATTATGTATAAAAGCTTGTTAATGGCCGAGTTAATTCGAATCTAATCAAATTAACAAAATTATATACAATTTGCAAAATGATTTCTACCATACTAATCTGTATGAGAATTCTAAGTGTTAAATTCTTGAAAGTTGGCACTCGAATACAGTGTCGATCGCATTGGATCGCATGTCAACTTGCCAGTCACGCGCACTACGTCAGATTTGTATAATATGGCACTCAATATGTTAATCCCGCTTCGATTGTTAAATACATAATTACATTTACATATAGAAGCTAAACTCTGCTGCAATAACCACGACCCAGACATCATCACGAAAACTTTCGGTAACTCGTATCTGAACGAGTTTTGATATTGTTATTGGAAAGTTTCGTTTATGTTTCGTCGTTATCGCTGGGTCTGGCTAAAGTGAAGTCTAAAATCTCATCGGATGTTAGAAAACGAACGTCGCTGTCCTCTGATAAGGCTGATCCGTTCGCACCACGTTTGCATGTCTTCCTTCTTCTTAGAATGATGATCACCACCATAGACGACACTGCTATTCCTGTTATTATGCCCACGATTATACCTATAATCCCGGATAAACTAAATTTTCTGCTCGCTCGATGCAATTTTTCTGCGTCCTGCAGCCTTGAATTTGAATCTGTGACAGAAATGGAAATATTATTTCGCTTGATATATGTATGTACATGTTTTAGGTGGCTCGTGGAATTAATTCTATGGATACGATTTTTTAATTTTCTGACAGGATTTATTCACTTTCATATTTTTATATATTCAGATTTATTCATTTTTGTAATTTTAGGTATTCAAATTCATTCACTTTTAAATTTTTAGATATTAATTTTAGTTTTATATCTTAATAATTTGATATTTAGAATATCTATATTTCCAAAAATATTTTCTTTTTAAATTTTCAAACCATCAAATGTAGTAACTTACAAACTCGATAATATGATAATTCAGTAATTGACAAATTTGAATTTCCAAAATCGGCAACTTAAATATTTAAAAACACGAATTATTAGAAAATTTATAAATTCAGTAATTCAAAAATTCAAAAATGTTTAATAACAATCTGTCTCACATCCTACACCTCTGCACCTGATACCTCCACGCTTCATATTTCCCCATACCGCCACTTTCTATCTTCCCAATTTCCTACCAGTTCCTCAATCCATGAAACAATACAGTATCCTTATTTTCCACCATAGAAGGAACTTTTCGACCCACTTTCAAACCTTTTACCTCAAAATAATACCCACGTCCCTAAAGCACTTTCTGCATTCCTATTCAAAAGATCCGTCAGAGGATGGACATAAAAGGATCGAACTGGCGAGAAAGTTTCCCGATCAATCGTGTGAACAAGAATTCGTTTTACCGGCTTGTTCGTCCACTCTCACGTATCTTCTAGTGACAGTGGTCGGTTGTACAAATGGCGTTTCCTTTATCTGAACTGTTTTCAACGTTGTGAAAGAAACAGGGGTGGTTCGTCTCGTTGTTTTCACCGGCTTCGTAATTTTTCGTGTGGTTACGTCGATTGGGCTGATCGTCCACGACCTTAGAGTGACAGGATCGATGTCGTCTTTCGGATTTATGGAGATACCTTGGCAGATTTTAATTTATTTTAGAATCGTTTGTTGTTAGATTAGAAATGTTTATGCTTTTATCGTATAAATTTATACTGCTGTACAAATGTACACTGCTTATAGGTTAGGTTAGGTTTATGTACTCTTTACAAACTTTGGTAAATTATAAATGTGTGAACGTTTGCAGTATACTTGTGGTGTTGAATGTACAATAATAATGTAGTTTATTATTAAACATATTTTATTAAATATAAGTGATGTTTCTGTTACTAAATACTGTATTATTGAATGTTTAATGTATGTATTAATTATTGATTATTTAATAGTGTATACTTTTATTTGTTGTACTATTGAATATTTAATAATTCAATAACGAATGTTTAATAATATGCATATTTATTATTGAATGTTTAATAATTTAGACATTTAGACATTTCTCCGAGCGAACTCCTGTAATTTTTAACCGACTTCGAAAAAGGAGGAGGTTACTCAATTCGATTAGTATATTTTTTTTTCTATGTATGTTCGCCGATTACGCCTAGCTGGGTGGACCGATCGGAACGAAACCTTTTGCATCTGGTAGGTTCTGACTCCCCATTGGTACCATTATCAAAAAATTTTTCATTTTTTAATTGCAAAGTATTGTTATTGCAAAACAACCGGCAACTTTTGAAATAAACTTTTCTCGATTTTAGTGCGCTTTTAATATCTTATCACGGACGGACATGATTCTGAACAATTTTGTTCCCCAAATTTTTACTGCCTCTGTTCTTTCAGTTAATTGATACACAGACATGTGATTGATATTTACAAAGGCGATTAGTTTGAAAGACCTAGCAAGTTCCAAAGTCCTTTTTTAATGAAGACGCCAGGTGTTTATTTGGGTCGCCCGAGGCAGGTGTACGAATTCTACAAAAACGACTGTAACTTAGAAGCATTCGAGATATTAGCGAAAATTATTGTTAACTTTTGAAACCAACTTCGGACGATTTTTATGTCCTTCTAATACGTTATTAGTGGCATGATTCTGAACGAGTTTTTCCTTATGCATAATTGACGGAAAACTTTAGTTTTCGTGATATTAGCGAAAAACTATTGTTATTAATATTAGTGGAATGCCGCGTGCTATGCACAGGAAAAATAAGAAAGGGCAATTACTACTAAGCTTTGCCGCTTTGACACGCGACTTATGCAGCAAGATGAGTTCACGTTGACGTTGGTGTATTATTCCCATTGCTTGGTACAGTCTCCGTATCGTTCTATAAATGCATCAATTTGATTTGTTAGAAAATTTGTTGCGCAGGATCTACTATTATTTTACGGATACTTTGACCCTTGCGCAGTCCTAAACCGTAAGAGATATACATGCGCAGTTAATTTTTGCAAAGAAAGTTAACAAAGAACAAATGGATGAAGCACTTTACAATTACGTAACAGATATGAATGAAACCTATTTACTCGTTAGGTAAGTTTATTAAATACATTTCAACTTTTTCGGAGGCGGCGCAAAATTAAAAATACCTCAGTAAACGTTGCCGCCAATAACCAGTTGATTGTGGTATGGCGTATTGGAAATTAATAAATCCTGAGAAAGAATACGTACCATTATAGATATATCTGGTAATATACGTAAATGTAACGACTGCATCTTCATTTCGCAACGTTTATGATATAAATGAAATTGAATTGACTTCATTCGCATGTGGAAGCCATGGATCTAAGAATCTATAAACTGAGCCCACGACGCGGGAATTACCAAATTTGCGGCAGATGGGCTCTATCTTTATAGTATATGCGGCGATCGAGTCTTTCCGTCGCATACTCTATGAATCTAGATAGACCATAGTTACATTCTATACGCACTAACACCTACTTCGCGGCGTGCTGTCGAGTTATATGTATCGAAAAAAAAATAGCTATACAAGCTTTGCCTATGTTCGGCTGTCCAAAGGTTGATATGTTCAAGAAAATCTTTTAATTTTGCGCCGCCTCCGAAAAAGTTGAAATGTATTTAATAAACTTACCTAACGAGTAAATAGGTTTCATTCATATCTGTTACGTAATTGTATGATTCAATGAAATGGAAATTACTTCATTAGGAAATAGAAATTATTTTATACTTTTTAGAGCATTTCGAAGTCGGTGTATTTTTTTTCTTAAAATTATTTTATTATTATTAAATGATAATGTGTTACTAATGAATATTTCAATAACATGAATCAATGACTATCAATGAATATTTATCAATAAATATCAACGGATATTTCAATACTTCAATAATGATATTAAATACAAAATATTATTAAATATAAAAAAATCACTGCATTAATACTAACAGAAATAAAAAAATTTTAATTTTTAATATAAGTCCAAGTTATGTTAGTATTTATAATTAATTATAATAGTTAATAAGACTCTGATGTAGCATATATTTTGAGAAAATTTTTAAGTTTTAAAAAATCAAAATATATCTGCTTCAAATTCACATTTTTGTATCACTATAAATAGCTAAATAACATAACGTAAAGAAGAATGTACAAGAGCATGAAATATAACGAATCTGTACAAATATAAATGGGTGAAAAATAAATTAAATAAAAAATTGAAGAATAAGGTTCTACTACACTATCAATTTTTAACATCCCTTATGATTCTGTACCACCAAAGTTTTCAAGGTAGTCTTTTAGCCATATTGTTGATTCTGTTGTAAAAATACTATACCCTTATGATCGTAAAACCCAGTCCACACGGCCATGTCGGATAGCGTAGTGATTTTTTCCTTGTAAATAATAGAAGGTCCTTGGGTTATGTGCGTGCCTGTAGTTGGTTCTGCATTAGTACCTTCTTCTGTGTATCCTGAGAATAAAAAGTAAATATCAGTCGATCCACAACGAAACATTTAATAAAACGGTAAACGTATAAATTATTAAAGATAGCTAACAATCCGTACACCCTTCGTAATTAACTTTAATAAATATTTAAAGTATAATAATTACAATTCAAGACAAGTACATAATTATAAGATAAATCATTAAATAAAAACAAAGTTAAATATGCAAATAAAATATAAATAACAAATAAATAATAAAATAAATATTAAATATACAAATAAAACCAAGGGATAACTGCACCCTCTAAAAAAAATCAAAACGAGAAAATAAAAACATAGCGATGAAGAATGATTAACTATTAATTACAAGTATCATAGAGATTATTTGAATAACGTGATATCGAAATATATTCACCTAGAACACAGTATTCCGCGTAATCCGGACAACAAATCGAATGTTCAGCACAGTCGAGGGTACAAAGACAAGCATCGGATAACGTGGGCGGCATCGCGGTCGTAAAACTGTATGTCACACTATTTTTACATCTTCCACGGCAGCTCTGCTGTGCGTTCACTTGTTCGATTTGATCTAGAAACCATTGCATCTGTTAAAATGTAAAGGTACCTATCTAGCAACGAGCTAAACCGAGTTGCAAACTCAATTTTTAACCCCCGTGCAATTCGTCGCAGACATTATTCACCTGAATTGCCGATAAAATTTGTATTAACACTGGAACCACCCTTTAAAATTATTTCAAGTATTAAGGTGTTATTTTAGAAAATTTTGTTGCGTTTGTCGAAATGTAACATGCTTTACTGAGGTAAGGAATAATTATGTATAATAGTTGATGCTTTGGTATTTACACTTTATTTTCAATTTAAAAATATGTATTTATTAATGATAGTTCTAGTATTAGTGATGTAAACATTGTTGAAATATTTTCATATGAATAATTGCGAGTAAGAATTGCTACAGAGATTGGGAGATCAAAATTTAATTTCTTAACCAAGTAATATTTTTTTCAACATTTTCAGTTTTGAAAAATATTTTTTCTGTGTATTTTCAATATAGAAAATAATGTGTAAGATAAGAATAAAGTAGGGTATTTTTATTTTTAGTAAAAAAATAAAATGAAAAAGGGTATTTTAAAATATTTGTATTTTGTAATTTTAATATAAAAATTAATTTGTCATATAAAAACAAAACAGGATGTTTTTTTTTAGTAAAAACTTTCATGAATAATACAAAAGTTAAACAGAATATTTATAATTATAATAAAAAACTAGACGTATAATACAAAAGCAAAACAAGATATTTATAATTTTAACATAAAACTTGATGTATAATATAAAAACAAAATGGGATATTTATAATTTTAACATAAAACTTGCTGTATAATATAAAAACAAATTAGGGTACTTGTATTTTTAACATAAAACTTGAATATAAAAGTAAAACATTGCCCAACTTGAAGATTCCAAAATGAAACTTTACTGTTCGAATATGAGACCCAGCTAATCTTCGTTGCCGAGCTTTAAAAGTCATAAATGTCTCAGAAATGATGTTCTATTTCGTAACTAACCGTGTACGCGTATTTTATAACTGGCTTTCAAATCGATTGAACATTTTGAAGAATCACATATTTATGAAAAACGTTGTAGGAAGTTTTTGAAGCGGTTCGATTAAATTACAGATACCTCAACGATGAGTGTATTATCATTTTCATAGATACTATAGTGCATACAACGGAGTTTGACTTACTACATCGTTAAATAACGAAGATTCAACGTTGAACCTACTAGATAGTTATAACGTTATTGTTTCAAAATATGACACCCCTAGAAATTGTTATTACGAGTCTGGTTTTGGTGAACAGAGTTGATCTGAAACTTATTTTCCCTGTTTTTCACAAATTGAGCACGTGAAATCTATTTCTTCGGCATCGTAGTCTTCATGGGTCCATCGATAACGCTTCGTACACTGAATGGTTAAATTAATTTTATACACTCAACGGTGAAGTGTATTAAGTATTATCGATAGGCTCACGCAAACTACAATGAAGAAACAGATCTCGTATGTTCAATTTATGACAGAATATAGAAAAAGTAAGTTTCAGAGATAAACTGGGTCTTATATCCATTCTTTCTACCCGTTTGCATTTTCATTTGTATTTGATCATTGAAAATGTATGAAAAATGTATTTTGCAATGTTCCCAAAATAGCGCAACTAAAATGTGGACACAAGAGGTTAATTAAGAATCATTTTAGTGAGATCCATGTATCGTTACCTTCGTCGCCTTCTGTGACACCGTCGGATTCCGTTTTGCTTGCCTCGCGACACTTGTCGCCCTGCAAAATGGCGACGTCGTCGATAGCGATGTCGCTCACGTAATTTTTGCCACGCACACCCTCAATTATGATCTGCAAGTGAGATAAAATTTGCGAAAATTCGGTTAACAATGCTTTGATATGTTGATTGTCACCATAGAAATGCTTATGCACTGCTGGAATTTTTGAACTTTGCATTTTGAAGTTTAAGAATTCTCGAACTCTACAGTTATTACTTTCAGATTTTTTGAATTGTGAAATTTTTGAACTTTCGGATTGTGGAATTAATCCATTGTAAATAATTTTGGGAGTTATTTTAATAATTGTTTAGAAAATAAGTTCTTATTTTCTAAAACTTTGGAATGTCTTGAATATTGGGATTTCAAAATAATAGAAAACAACTGTTGAACTCTAGAACTCAAGGGTTTTGGAACTTTAAAACTGTCAATGTTTCTTTTTAATTTCATTTTGGATTTTTTTAATTCTCGCACTACAGAATTATAAAATTTCAGAACTATGGATTCCCAAATTTGTTTAATTTCAAAACTTTGACGATTTAAAATTTTGAATCATTAAAATGTAAAAACTTGAGAAACTTTCTGCGAAGAAATAAAATCGACTTCGAAAAAGTAACAAACCAAAACGTTAACAATAACGAAATAATAAAATTGAAACATTATTATTGAATATTAAAAATAAATTAATACGTCTTTAATTTCCAACTGTCAATATTTTAAATCGACATCAAAAGAGATTAAAATATTATTATCCATTGCATTGATCTATACAAGAACCATATATCCATTCTTTTTTACATACGTTTGATCCCGACCTATAAAAGTTCGAGAAATCCCTAGACTATCCCTAGATTTCCCTTGAGTCCAGGATTCTCGTACGATCGAAAGCAAATCAGTTTTAACCAAAAGAGACCCATCTTGCACGGAAGCGTATCTCATTCGCTAAATTAATCTTGCAGGTATTTTAGGTAGTTATAGACCGTGTTCTAAATCTTTCTTCAAACGTACGTTGTGCTTAGATTCTATTTGAAGTTCAATGATATATATTGTCTATCGTTTATTTATACCTGGAAACCTTTCTCAGCTTTGGGAAGATTGAAAATACCGTGGAACCATTGATTCCCTTGGTCACCTTCTTTGCTGAACATTAATCGTGGCCAAGGATCCTTCTCTGCTTTGAAATACACGTTTAGAGCGCCTATCGTGCCTCCGAACATATGATACCTGCAATTTCATACAATTTTTACAATTCAGGAGAAATTGAAAACCGTACGCAACGCCTTACAGTTATTTAATTTCGATACAATTTGAATAAGTGCAAACCAATCGCGCTGAAATTATAACCAAACCCGGAGTTTGATTAGAGAGGAAAGTTCCTAAAAAGATTTCTGACGATGAAATCTCGTTTGCTCTCAAACCCTCTTTAAAGTTTTCTACAGTTCTTACTAAATATCTCCGAAAATATTGATTTTAGAGAAAAAAGTTTAAAATAAAAAATGTAGTTCATGAAAAGCTCTACTAAGAAGGTTATATACATTTTTGACATAAATCTATTATTTTAACTGTTATGACAAATATTATTAAATGTCATTTCCCAACTCATTCCCCAGCACCCTTCAAAGTTATTAACACTTCTTACTAAATATATCCGAAAATATTGATTTTAGAGGAAAAAGTTTTAAACAAAAAATATAGCTCGTAAAAAGTTCTAAAAAGAAGGTTCTATACATTTTTGACGTGAACCTATTATTTTGGCTGTTATGCCCTAAAATAACTCGGCGAGGGTCAAATAGGCTCAGGGTACTTCTACTAGCGGGGCAATTGCGGAAGTGGAGGACAAAGGCCCCCCTACACTCCCTGTGTGCTTTCTACATCACACATCTACACCTATTTTTGTATGCTAATTTTTCCCGACATACATAATAAAAATTTTTGAAATTTTGATGAAAACATACTTTTTCAAGGTTTAACCCTCATTATACTTTATATTAACACTTTGCAAGGGACAGTGACTATATTTATTTTAATACAATTTTACGTAAATATTTTTTATCTGAATTTATAGTGATTTGTAAACGTAGTTAAAATTAATAATAATTTTAATAAATTTATCAAACTGTTTTGAACTAGAAAAATTCATCAAAATGTTTTGAATTAGAGAAATTCATTAAACTATTCTAAACTAGAAAAATCCATCAAACTGTTCTAAACTAAAAAAATTCATCAAACTGTTCTAAACTAGAAAAATTCATCAAACTATTCTAAACTAGAAAAATTCATCAAACTATTCTCAATTAGAAAAATTCATCAAACTGTTCTGAATCAAAGAAATTAATTAAACTATATTAAATTAGAAAGTTGTTATTTATCAACAGAAATACCTCTGAGTGCAAAGGTATAATTTATAAAATAATTGAAATCTTTTCTCAAAGCTACATTCCGCAATACCACATTCGAGTTATCCGCGTAATAATGTTACGAGATGTAATAACACCAGTGATATCGGCATGAAAATTATTCATTCGAGTATGCCCTCCAAACGAATGCCTTTTTAATATCCCGCGACACGGGCTGAAATTATATTCAGATGACGATCGAGGACACCTCGTTCCCTTAATGAACCCTCACCGATCAGCCCGTAATTATGTCAGCCATAATACTACCAACTAGTAACCAGAAATTATCGGGAGACCTGTTTTTACGCGATAGACCGTGTCGAAGTTTCATTAGCCGCTGGTCCGTTATTCAGAAATTTCTTTTGTACCGTTCTCTCCGTAGAATTTATTTTCATCGACGCTGTAGAACGGACAGCAACAAATTAATTAATTACGGACGTTGTAGCGCTTTTATTGAATAGTAATTGGAAACACGGCCGGGCGATCGATGGCTGTGATAAATTAGAAAATTAAATTACCAGAACGAAAAACAACCGTCGTCCGTGTACGAAGCGTTGTAAATCGGAGAAATGATCCTTGCCGTGTCGTTTTCTAGTCTTCCAGATGCTTCGATGTATAAATAATAACCTAAAATAGAGAAATTTTTTAAAACTTGATTTGAGTTAAATGGAGATTTGTCGAAATTGTGACGTGAAGGTTGTGTTAGATTTTATGTTCGTAGGAATTTGCTTTGTTGATACTATAGGTTCGATATATGTATGGCTCTCTTTTATATGGCCCGTGAAATTTCATGTAGGACTCATTCACAAATTCAAACTTAGAATTTAGGAGTTTCACATTTATGTGTATTCTGATTAATTGTTGGGAAATTATGACCTTTTATAATTGACTTATAATTTATAACACAAATTTTGTAATTTAGGGTTGTAGAAATTTAATTATACAGTCGTTTGTGAGTATAAAAATTGAGGAATTTAGAAATTATAATTTGTAACACAACATTTTGTAATTTGGAAATTCAGGAACTGTAAATTTATAATATAAATTTTGTAATTCAGGAGTTCAAAAATTTGGTCATATGATCATTAAGAAATTTGGGGATTTAGGAATTTAGGAATTTAGAAATTTAGAAATTTAGAAATTTTTAACTTTTAATTTCAAATTTTTAACTTTTGAGATTTACGAATCTCAAGTTTTCAAATTTTGAAATCTTTCAGTTCCCAAGTTCGCAAATTTATAAATTTTTAAACGTATGAATCTAGAAACTTAATAATCTAGTAATTACATTATTTGAAAATTTGAAAATTTATAAACATGGTAATTTTTGAATTTGAAAACCTGTAAATGTGGTCATTTTTTAATATCAAAATGTTTCCATATAGAAATTTGAAGGAATCTAAAATTTGAAATGTTGAAAATACGTAAATTTGTATGACTGGAAATTAGAAATTTTTAAAATTGATAATTTATAAAACTAAAAATTATAAGTTTTGACAACTGGTAATTTAGAAAGTGGAAAATTGGAATTTTGAAATCTGTTAATTCAAGAAATTGAAAATTAAAAATTTTGACAATTGGTAATTTAGAAATTTGAAAATTAAAAATTTTGAAAACTGTTAACTTACAAAATTCAGAATTAATAATTTTAAAATAAAAAATTAAAAAAGTCGATAAGTTAAAGATACATAAATTTCAAATGTAGACACACTTAAATTTCCTAATTTAGAACCTCAAATTTTCTGAAATTATTTGAAAATTTAAAAATGTAAGAATATAAACAAATGAAAACATCAAATCTGAAAACCACGAAACCTAAAATTTCCTATAACAATTCAATTAAAGACATAATAAAATAAATTTCACTTATATAGCTCCTTCAATTGCCTCCACTCCTACAACCCGATTCAGGGCCATATAGCGAGACTCCATTGCACTATGCAGGTTACAATACTAATTATATACAATAATCATATTTTTGTTACATAAAATAATGAAATACCATCATTTCCAGGTCCCAAGGTGTGATCATGCGTTGGACCAGTCCCTATATGAGAACTTGGTGTTTGAAAATTATGTCGTCGCCAATCGAAATCGTGTTGAGGATCTTGTTCCCACCAACATAAATCCGGTTTCTCGAAATTGCACTCCGTCGGAGCTGCCGCAGTTGTGTCTGGTCGTAAACATTAAATATTTATTATTCATTAATAAGTCTATTATCTACAATTATTTAATTATATTTTTACAGAAACATATAAAAATCTAAAGAAATAAAAAAGAAGATTGCTTATTAACCTTTGCAGTACGATTTACTTGTCAGGTGCGTCAGTCAAAACAAACTATTCATAGCTATAATGTTTAAACAAACAATAAAAATTAAAATGTTGTGAATATTTTATATTCAGCGATCCTTGATAATGCAAATTATAGTTGGACTTAAATTTTAAGTTGAAGAGTATTAAAAATTTGAATAAGATTTATTATGTACGAGCTGTGAGTGCGTCACGAGCGAGACTCGCAAAGTACAACTCGCAGAGTACAATTTAACTCGTTAAATTAATAGTTAAACATCCTAATTCTATATGACCCGGAAGACCCCATTTCTATCGCACAAAAAATATGTTGGGGTCCAGCTGACCCCACAAGATATTTAAGAATACGTGCATACGTATAATAAAGAACATTTCAAAATTGAAGGTATATTGTAGGGTATACTCGTTGCTACATTAAAAATGAATCTACTTATGTTTAAACAAGAAATTAAAATTTCTGGGGTCTTCTAGACTCCACGTTGCCAACTACAGAATTCAATTTTTGTTGTTCTTTAACATTTCCAATTTTTATTATTGTAAGTAATCGAAAAACAACGAAAATGAAAAATAACAGTCTGCAGAAGATCCGATTAAAATCTCTTTAATAATAGTATTCATTGAAATCTAAATTTTTAAAATTTCTACTTATTCGGAAATGCCAGATTAAAGGAGACCTAAAGGTCTGTAATTATCGAAGGTTTGGAATTTAATAGCGATGGTCGAATTACGGGGACTTTTAATCGAAAAGGTCAAAATCAGGCTACAGTACTAAGAAAAGCCTCAAACCAGAAAAGTACTATCAGTAAATTACATTATTAACCCTTCATTTACTGGGCCAATGATCATAGCAGTTGAGGCCCTTATAAAATCAATCAATCAACCTTTATTTACTGACGGTTAGTCTTGCAGTAATTTATTAATTTAAATGCTTGAGACCCAATGGGATTCGAAGTCCATTATGAACTTTGTTCTTCAATTATTGAATGGCAACACAAGTTTCTCTTCGGAAACTAGAGACAAGTATGCAATGATGTAAGACCAAGATGGCTGCCTAGAAGATTGAAAATCGTCCACGTGGTCGCATATATGAAATACTTATTTGCTTTGCACTTTAGGAAATTTGAAAAAGGAAATGTCTTTAAGGACATTTGTTTACACTACACTGAGTGTCACTGGCCATTTGTGACGTCACAAGGAAGAAATGTGTGTTTTTAGGAAAGTTGACTATATCTCGAAATGTTCGAAATACAACCCTGTATAAATGAACTACATTTTTTACCAAAAAATTGGTTTCATCTTCATCGTATGTTGAAGTTGACTATATGTCGAAGTGTTCGAAATACAACCCTGTATAAATGAACTACATTTTTTACCAAAAAATTGGTTTCTTTTAATACCATAAAAAATAGCGATGGAAGTGATCTGCTGTCAGAATACAAGATAATGTATACAGGGTGTCTACGAATAAGTATGACAGCACAATATTTCATGAATTATTGATGACATAAAAGACTAATCCTGCTTGATTTTACATATAGGGTGTTCGGCTACTGGTGGGCATACTTTCAGAGGGTGGTAGCTGAGATGCTACTGAACAATTTTTTCCTTTACCAAAATGTTGACTGAAGCTTAGTTTTTGAGTTATTAACAAAAAACACTGATCAATCAGATGCACTAAAGTATTTAAACTACTGCTGCTGCATAATTAATACTGAAATTTGTTGACAAAAGTTCAATATTTTTTTTAAGAAATCCATATTTTGCTTAATTTTTTATGTTTTTTATTAGGTACGTTTCTTCTGATGTATAGACTAATCCTGCTTGATTGTAATTAAACGTTTACCCTGTCCCGGCGCATAGCTACTTGTTCATGATCGCGCTCAGCTCGAAACTATCGCTATTACTTCTGGGTACGCGTAATGCTTGCGCTTTGATTGGTACGTGTATTTCCTTAATAATTCAAAAACTAAGCTTCAAACCCCATTTTTGCAAAGGAAAATCTTGTTCAGAATGACGTCCTCTATCATCCCTTTCAGGGAGTAACACTAGTTACGGGACACTCTGTATATGGAAGGATAAAAGGGGCTTTATGTTTTGGCGTAAACGAAGTTTGTTAATGTTATTAATGTAAAAGATATGATAGTGAAGTTTCGTTTTTTAAATAGAACTACATTTTTTTTTTAATCACGCGATAGTGCTTTTCAAGACGAATTTATTAAGATTTAATGTATTTACCCATTTTTTAACAGTTTTCGAGATATAACGCTTATTATAAATAAAAAGTTCGCAGACATTCTTCAAACTCTTAAGAAATTCAGTAGATAAAGGGTTAAAGCATAAAAGATGAAGTTCGCTACAGAAAATTAAATATTGATCTGTAATGTAATTAAACGCCATTACGTTACTAATTTATTAGTTTCCTTCGTTCTAAGAAAAGCTTGAATTTATTTTGAAGGGTTTTCCTGACACGAATAAAGGAAAGCAGGTATAATTAATTAAAGAAGGTAGAAGTAAATATTTGCCGGTATCGATTAAAAAGAAAGTAAAATGACGGATCACCTCGACAATGCGGTGTTGTCCCGTTCCATTGCATTCCGTTGCAATAAATTTCAGGAGAACCAATCAGCGCGTAACCAGGTTGGCAGAAAAATAATAATATTGCGCCGTTGTATTTTGTTCCAATCATAGCGTGCTCCGGTACTGGTGGCGGGGCGCATGCTGCATCTGTTCAAACAATTAACGTCACTTTGGAATTGTTCAGTTTTAGAATCCTTGAATTATGTCTCATTAAAATTGTTGCATTTTGGAAAATATTAATTTTGGTATTTTGAAATTTGGGAATTTTACAGTTTCCGAATTTTGAGATTTTGGAGTTTTGATGTTCTGGTATTTTAGAGTTTTGGAGTTTTGAAGTTTCGGAGTTTTGGGGGTTTCAGAATTTTGGAATTATGGAATATTGGAATTTCAGAATTTTGGAATTTTGGAATTTTGGAATTTTGGAATTTTGGCATTTTAGAATTTTGGAATTTTGAAATTTTGGAATTTTAGAAGTTTGGAATTTTGGAATTTTGAAATTTTAGAATTTTGGAAATTTGGAATTGTGGAATTGTGGAATTGTGGAATTGTGGAATTATGGAATTGTTGAGCTGTGGAATTGTGGAACTTTTGGATTTTGGAATTTGGAATTGTGGAATTGTGGAATTATGGAATTGTTGAGCTGTGGAATTTGGAATTATGGAATTGTTGAGCTGTGGAATTGTGGAATTGTGGAATTCTGGAACTTTTGGATTTTGGAATTTGGAATTGTGGAATTGTGGAATTCTGGAATTCTAGAACTTTTGGGTTTTAAGATTTTGGAATTTTGTAATTCTGAAATCCTGAAATTTTGGGATTTTGGAGTTTTGGGGTTTTTGAATTTTGTAATTCTGGAATTCTGGAGTTCTACAATTTTGGAATTTTGGAATTCTGGTATTTTTGAATTCTGAAATTTAGGAATTTCGAAATTTTGGAAATTTGCCGAATTTTTGGATTTTTTAATATTTCAAATTCTAGAATTTTGGAATTTCAAGCTTTCAAATTTTAAATCTCAGAGATATCAAAATTTTAAAGTTCGCTAATTAAGAAATTTCGCAATTTCCACACTGAAATATAAAAACTAATCAAAAAAGTTCCAATACTCTAAATGTCCATCAAAGCCATTTAATTTGCATTTTAACCGTTTTACCGATTACTTAAAATCGCCACATTGCGAAACTCACCCCATACGTTACATTTCGCAATAACCATTCTCGAAATTCGCCCCGTTCTCATGAAAATCAAGTGCTGACCAACTATGGTAGTTAAAGGTTAATTAATAGAAATGGTACGTTTCGTTTTCAAAGTCGAATGATAACCACGAAATGTAAAGGGGAGAGTCAGCGTAGTCACAGAGGGCGAACGTTTTAATTAAAATCCGCTGTTACAGAGTTTTATCAAGTGTGATTAGAAAGCCGTGCTTACTGACGCATACAGGCGTAGGTGTATCCCATTGGCCTCGAATACAAGTGGAGTACTTGTTACCAACAAGAATGAAACCCTCGTAACAACTGAATCTGATGATTCTTCCCCTGGCCCTTCCTCGGACTTTGCCATTTGCCAGCCTCACCACGGGACACCTGTCTTTTCAACGGAACACGCACACAGATTAGTTCAATTAATCGAATACCTCCGTGAAGTTAAGTAATTCGAAGGACTAACTCAAATTATACGTAGTACTCCTACCGTGCAATTAACCCTTAGCATACTACGGTGGATCTCAGGGATTTATTCTAGGACATATGTTGTTAAGCTGTCGTAGGCGAAACGATTTTGACCTTAACTTTTCAATTTTATTCAAATAACTTGAGTAATGCTACCAAACTGTCGAAATGACTGATTTCAAGTTTTATATTTTATAGTACAAAATTTGCATTACAAAGTCTGTTATATTGGCACATGAAATTGTTTGAAAAATGTTTACATTACAAAGTTTGTCATATTCACCTATCAAATTATTTGCAAAATGTTTACATTACAAAGTCTGTTATATTCACACATCAAATTATTTGCAAAATTTTCAATTTAAAAAATCTCATATTAACACATAAAATTATTTGCAAAATTTTTACATTACAAAGTCTGTTATATTTACACATCAAATTATTTGAAAAATTTTTAATCTAAAAAGTTTGTCATATATTGTTGAGTTCAAGAATAGTTATACATGTTGATTAGTGCCTCTATATTTATTAATTTTCCACTTCAGAAGTAAGTTTGCAAATAGTCCTAGTGTTAATAAAAATCAGACAACGTTTCATCGCTGTGATTATATCGATAACTAGATTTTTACTGAATATGTAATCAGATTTTTTTAGAAATTAGTTATTACATATATATTTGGTTTCTTTAAAAAATTGTTATTGAATTTGTGATTAGCTTTTAGAAATCGGTAATTAAAACTGTAATTACTTATAGAAATTGTAAATTGAGTTTGTAATTCGATTTTTTTAAATTATAATTAAATTTGGGATTAGATTTTTAGAAGTTGATAAATTGCAATTATTTATATAAATTGGTAATTGAGTTCTTAATTAGATTTTTTCAAAATTGTAATTAAAGTTGTGTCTAGATTTTTTAGAAAATTGTAATTAAATTTGTGACTAGAGTTTTTAGAAAAAAGTAATTAAATTTGTAATTAGCTTTTTAGAAATTAGTAGCTAAATTTGTAATTAGGTACCTCAGAATTTAATAATTAACTCTGTAACTATCTTTTTTAAAAATTAGTAATTAAGTTTGTAATTAAATTTTGTGAACAATTGTATTTAAATTCATAATTAAATTAGTAATTAAATTTGTAATTAGATTATACAAAGAGCAATAATTACATTTGTGATCAGATTTCTAGCAAATAATAACTAAATTAGTAATAAGACAAAATCAATTATAAAATATTTTCCATTTCATGAATTTAAAAATGAAGAAGCTTGAGACTTTTAAAATTTGAAAATTTAAAAATTTGGGAATTTGTAGATTTAAAAATGTAAACATTACAATATTCGAAGATTTGGAAATTTAAAAATTTACACAGTTGGCACTTCAGAAATTCATGAACTTTTGAATCTTAGAATAAGAAGAAATAATATGAAACTTGTTAGATAACCATAAAAAGATGGAGTCCCTTGGGTGAATATTGACCGTTTCACCTTCTATGTTGTATGCTAAGGGTAAATACTTAATTCTGCTGTTCCATTCACTTTCACTTCATGAAACTTAAATAGGATAACCTTATAACAATGTATAATAATAACCAGAACTTAATAACAATAACAGGAAGATACATATAAAATAAATATATATCATCATCATTGTCAAACTTGCAAACAGTTGAAGAAAAAAAGAAATGATTAATTTTGATGATGTTTTATGCTTCAACAATGTTTTATATGTGCTTACAATTACACATTATATTGTAATATAGTGTAATAGTATAATATAATATAATGATAATAATTACTATATTTATATGTATATTATACTGAAAATAATATACACAATATAATAATATACTGCAATATACTGCACATAATATATACAATAATATAATATAGTAATTCCATACAGTAACATAGCATCACAGTTATCGTACGAATCTTCATAAATAAAATAAAGCATGCTACCAATTCATAACGAAAACATATATATGTAAACAACGGTCCGCTTGAAAATTTAATTGAATTAAAGAGCGAAACCTCATTATTTCTTATTCGCGGAGTAGACCAGTGGAAGTGACACGAAGTCCTTGAATTAAACAGGAAGATTTACTCTATTTTCGGTCCAAAGTGCAAACGTAAATTCTATAAGCTGGTTTCTATCTTCACTCTTTAATAGCCTATCTTAACCACCCGCCCCTTTTAATTTATCATGAAGCCCTCTCAATCAATATTAATCAGTATTAAAAAAATAAAAAATTTAGTTGAATAAACTTTTACATATTTGCGACAAAAATTATAATGCATTTGACAGACTCTTGTGTATTCATAACAATAAAAAATTTATTGTATATTAATATATGTATTTAAATATCAATATTAATTATCACGCGATTACTATGATGCAAAAACTTCGGAGAACAAAGTTGAACTTTATTGCAAGACACGTGCAATAGTTCAGCAATGTTTCCTCGAGAATTCAAGGTCATTTAAGCAGTATTCAATGTCATCGTTATTTTACCAAGTGAAATAAATTCTCTGAGTAAATTCTCTGAGATGTTTTAAAAATTCAATAATTCAATGATACAAAAATTCAATGATAATTTTTTAAATTAAAATTAATGAATTGTTTTCTTTTACAAACAAACGAAACGTTTCAAAAACTTTGAATTCTTTGTTTACTCCGATTGACCAAAATATGAATTGCACTCTTGAAATTTGTGCCACTTCAAAATATCTGCCTCTTCCATAAAATATTATTTCGATAAATGTGTTTATATATATTTGTATTGAAATTGTTCTTGCTACTAATAAATATTCGATACATGTTTATTACATGTATTATTACGATCATACTATTAGTATAATCATATTTTATTTTATTGCAAAGTAAAATCATCCAGTTAACAGCCACATACAATTCAACTCTCAATTAAGGAAAATTCAGTTCCAAATTGAAAGTCAATGAATTTCAATGAATTGAAAATCAATGACCGGTTAAATTAGAAGCTTAATTTGAAACTCTGGTCACCGTTAACAGATCAACTAATTGTCACTTACTCTGCACTGAAACATAGGAAACAACGCACTGTGCCAAGAAGAGTGTCCACAAAAGAAGAGGCGTCAGAGATATCTTCATTCTAAGAACGTTTACCTCCCAAGAAAATAATTCGCACAACTCATAACTCGATAACCAGAAGGCTTGTTCGACTCCTTCGCGAGTTTAGAAAATTAAAATCTGATGCACATGTTAGCAGGGGTCAACACGGAGCGGATGAACACGGTCGATCCTTCAGGAAAAAATGAACCTGCGGATCCAGAAAAGACAGGACTCGAACAAACGGCGAAAAAGTAAAATTTCAACTGGTCAGATCGTTCTGTATCTATGAATGGAACAGGGATGCCGGGTTTCGGGGTTATTCCGCTCCTAATGGAAGGCGGGAACATCACTTCCGTCGTCACTCGCTGCCGCGATAGTCTATCTGCTTCCGGCCTGGCTTGGTTTATCGACGTCGAACATTGCCAGGCCTTGAGGAGAATTCCTACAAATTGCATTTTGCGTCGGTGATAAAATGAATTCCAGATGAGGAACACTGACCGCCTCTGATTACTTCAACGTTCTGGCGCCAAGGATTCTTCTTCCTTCTAACGCCATCATGGATCCTCATCGTTATGTATATTTTAGCACATATTCATAAATACAATTAATGTATGCGAATCTTATGCTACTGGATGAGTACTGTCCATCCTCAAGGAAGATTTTTAATCTCAAAAGAATCCTTGGAGACACCTTTGAATTAGCAACTGACGTCATTTGCAATGCAACATATATTTTTTAGATCTGAAACAAGATGGTTGATCTCACAAGGATCCTTTCCAAACATATAACTTCTGAGGTTAAAATAATAAAAATATGTAATTATATAAAATTTTGTATAAAAATGTATGTAATGGTAAAATCTTATATTGCTAAGTAGTACTTTAATTCTCCTGTATAAAGTCCTAAAATGATCACTACATTACAACACTACAATACACTACAAAGCTCCATACAAATTGAGATACTTTATTAAACAACATCTTTAATTCCTTGGGAAAAGATTCAGGGATAATACAAAACTTTCAGGTGTTAAAAACTGAAAAATATTTGTATATATTTTATTCGCATTACAAAACAGTAAGAATTTTTATTAAATTAGAGATTAATATATACAATGAACATTACCTCGTAAATAATTGGCACATAAAACTTTTTTAAAATGTCACAGGTTCATAATAAAATGTTACGAGGTTTATTTATATTACAGTACATGTGTAGCGATCTACGCTATAAATTAATATTTACAAGGAATTACAGTGACTAAATAATGGCATCATAATTCAAATCCACGGTTGTTTCTACATAAAGTAGATTCGTTTCTTCTTGTGATGTACAAATATTTTCGCTGAGATTTCTATTTGTACAGAGATTTGAATACAGTTAAAATTTTGTAGAGATTTTCATTTTTCTTGGAATTTGAGGTTGCTGGTTGCACGGATGTTTCGTCGAAATTCGATAATATATCCAACTGTTTTGTAACGGTGTTTTTCTCAGCCTGTTCGATTTCGGATTGCGACACTTTATCGAAAATGAACGTTTGTTTTATTCGACTCATGGCCTCCTCTGTAAAAAAAAAGATTTTATACAACAATAAAACTATATTCAACGTTTATATTTTCTCTTATTAAATATAGTTAAAAAGTTAAATAATTCTCATAAACAATTAATGCATGGAACTACAATTACAATAGGGATTATAAATAATAATTTATATTAACATATAAATAGGAACAAGTTTGTGCAGATTTAACTGAAACGAATATTTATTTATAAATTTTAAATATATCTTTATATAACATGATACGATAAATGTTATGTATTCTTTGAATACTGACTACAATTTTGAAAATATTTTATATATTATTATATCATTCTATGTGTTACAAATAGTATTGAATAAATTATTTAAATTAAATGGCTTTTCGTTCTACAAAATTTCGATTAGATGCAAATCCAACTATACTAATATCGTTTCAGTCGTGAAAACAGAATGTTCCTATTTACGTGTGTAAGCAACGATGAAAATGAGTAACCACTTAGGCGGAAATATAAAAATTCTCGTGGCCCGATAAATAGAGCCAAAATTAAAATGCCTCGTATCATGAAGTGCGACTAAAAAAAAACAGCACTGAAATACGACGCATCGTTCATGATAGAACAAGCATATCAATGAAAAAGAACTTTCAGAATTACCAGTGTCATATTGCAATCAACAGCGGAATGCATTCATACTTACGTTCGTTCTCATGCAGAACGAAATCTTCAAAAGAGTTTATGTTCCTTATAAACAAATGAAACGCATCTTCAACATCAGATAATCGAATGACAAAATCGGGATCGCATATTGCCAAGTGAGACAGGAATCTTATTCCGTCTCTTAACATTTTTGATTGTTTTCTCTTCATGGTCGTCCAAGCATTTTCGTCCGAAAATTTATCCTGATAGATTTCACGTATACACTTCTTATCACTTTCCGGCAAAAACGGCGAATGTTTACTACAAATATTTTTCAAGCTGCAGGATTCTTCTTGTTTCAAAGGGAACCTCTTTAAGTTGAAATCTCCAAGGGCGCTCAAATTTACTTCGGAACATTTGCTCAGAGTTTTAATTGTAAACCTTAATAGTTTCATGCAACAGTTACAGGAATCCAAGGTATCAGATCTTAGAGGGATAACATTCGTTTGCAATACGTATTGCACAAATTTCAACAGTGTGTCTGTGATGTCTATAGCTGCGATCAGATCAAAATGATGATTTTCCACTTGTGCCAGAAAAATCTGTAATGGGCAAGCATCTGAAATGGGAATATTCAATAAGATAAGAATTAAAATCTGATTCGAATATTGAAACAGGGGTCTTTTTACCTGGTATAAAATGTAAAGAACCTTTCCAATTATTCACTGCCATTGATTCTGCAAGAATAAAAATAAGAATAAAAATGAGATAAAGATGGTAAAAAAGAAATTCGCAGATATAATAAATTAACATACGTGAATTAATACAAAGTTTTGGTAAATACGTGGCAGATTTAACAAAGATCATTATCATATTACTAAGCAGCGCGTAACAATAAGGTAATGGTCTAGAAAACACTATTTCTTTAAATATCCGATAAACATAGTCCATTCTGAAACAAGAAACAAAGGTTACAATGTTTTATTTCTAAAATGTATGACTAACAAAAATCATTCACATACCCCTGAGAACAGTATTCAACCTTTTTATGAACATTATATACAAGCATCATAATGGCACATATAAGGCCACTGAACTGGTGTGCTCGCCTCTGAAAGGAGTAAAATTGTCAGGATATTGAAAAAATTTTTACCAACTCTGTGTTTTAAAAATTTCGAAATTTTAATATCTTACCGTAGATCCGACTAAAGTAACGAATTGCAATAGCATCCTGAGTATTTCAAAATCCTGATTCTTTTCCGACCACATATTGTAGCGTATCATGTGTTGCGAATAACACTTATAAGATTCATCTCTTTCTGTAAGCAGTCGTGCTTTTCCTGCAATATATTTGCTAAGATAAGTCGATTCTAGACTTATATAGGATAGTACACCAAACACTCGTCTGGTTTCAACACCACGTTCACATTCGTGCCACGTATTTGCTGCACACGCAGATTTTCCATTAAAATTAGGATTTGAATATAAATCGGAGAAATAAATATCGTTCATGTCTCGAATATCGTCGTTGTTCATAGCTTGAAAGATTGTCTGAAGAACAGTTATTACGTTCAAAAGCAGTTCCCTTGCAGTAGCAATTATCTGAAATACGATTCATTAATTATTAAATTATTTAGTTACTGAATTTGCACAAAATAATGCAATTTACCTTATTTATAATGGGTATAACATTTTCTGATTCAAGCTCCATATTCGTTTTTTGTTGAAGAACAGATATTTCTGGGAAAATAAACTCGACAGTAAGCATTTTGTCGTCTATCATAGTTGTTACTGGTTTTACTAATTCTGGGTTTTCTGAAAGAGAATATTTTCAAATATAGTTATGTTATAAAATGTCAGAAATGTGTAAAGCAGAAATTTTACCGAATATTCGACACGTATTTTCCTCTTGTAAAATAGGTAAATTTCGTTTTCCAGTTTTCTCTATGATTTGAATATCAACTACAGATTTCTCTGGTTGTGGTGTATCATAGATTAATTTGGGAATTTCAGACAGAGGATAATCTGCAAGAGAAACATATCTTTATTAGATCATTTTAAAGAAATGAATAATTGTTATTATAATATACGTACACGAGTTCCAAACCTTAAGCAAAAATAGATTTTTATTATGTATATTAGTTTGAATACAAGTTTCTTTTACTTTGGCTGGTTTCACACTAGGAACTGGTGACCTGAAAATAATGGTATAAACATATGTTCAGTTCTACAAAAATATTTCATAAATTTACCGACTCCTTGGTGAACTGAATCTATTTTTATTTGTAGAGACATTGAAATTCATACTGTGCGGCTCTGTCAACCGAACATTTCCACTCTCTAATAATTTAAAACGTTCCATTAAATTTCTTACTTCAAATGTCTGCAAAAACAAAAGGAAAGAAATTATTAGAATTTGCTACATGAAGTGGAAATATTTAAAGTCAATTATTGTATTAGTGAGAAGAACACCTACTTGCAATTCAAGTTGAGTTTTCAAATGTTCTTTTTCTTTGCAAATAGCATTTATTTCTACTCTATGTCGATTTTCTTGTTCTTCAATAAAACGTGTTTTTTCTAATTTTTCATTTTCTGCGCGTAATTGTGTCTGCTGCAATTGGTTTCTTAAAAATACTGCTTCCCCTTCTTTAGTCATAAACTCGTCTAACAACTTTTTATTTTCAAGTTTCAATTTTTCCAATTCCTTTATATATTCTGCTTCTGCAAGTATAAGTTGTAAATTAATTAATATGTATAAAATGTAAAGAATGACTTTAATATTACCTGAAATAATATTATTGTCCATTTTAAATGTTGAATTATGTACTTTTCTATTTAGTAATTTATCTTCAAAGTCCTTGTAATCAACAGAAAGAACAGTACTTGTATCTTTCAAATGTAACATCTCTTTTTTTACCGTATTACTTTGTGACATAGAAGGTACAGGTATACAAGGCTTTACTTTACTTTCATTACGATTCGAATTAGAAATAACTTTACTAGTAGATGGCATACTGTAGTATCTTTGTACTGTAGGCACATTTTGCTCTCTATTTGGCTGACTGAAAACATTTTGTTCCTAAAATAAATATGAAACATGATACATAATCACAACATATATAAATTTATACAATTAATTAATAAGAATAAAACCTGTAAGCAAGCTTGAGTTGCCACAAAATCCATCTCTTCTATATCTTCTTCTGCGAAATCATCGCCCCATATATCATCAGATCTTGCAGACTTTTTAGTTGACTCTTTATTTGTTTTAAAAACACCTGCCACTGTTTCTTTGTTTGTGTCATATTTTGGTCGCTTGGCAGGCAGGGAATACTCATTCCCACTATTACCTTCTGTCCGTTTAAACATTTTAATTGATTTATATTACATGGATAATTATAAAATTACTTCAACATCACTTCGAAATTCTTCTGAATATATTTAACAAAAGTAGTATACCCAATTTGTCTGTATTCATTTATGTTGCATTCGTCACTGAAACTAATTAAGTCTGTAAATATTTCATTTTATTTCAGCTTTAGAAAAGTCAAATCAATTCAATAAACAATTGTCTTTAATACCATTATTATTTCTGAGAAGAAAATTGATTTTAACAATCTCAATATTTCTGCATTTATTTAGTGACATTTTATGAGAATAATGTATAAATTTCACAAGTGAATAATGACATTGTTCATCATTTTACATATTAAATTGATATCAAAGTTTGTTACACATCCATTACAAATCAATCAAACATGTGAAGAAACATTGACTAATGTCACATGGAATTAGAAAGAAAGTACTGCCAACCTATAAAAATACTAAAGTAGTACATTCCTGTCTTCCCTAAGAAAGATGGTAGCCAAGGGAAAAAGTCCCAATAATACAATGGACCCACAATACGTCCATGTACTTACACGTATTATGCCTAATTTACATATCTCATTTTCTACAGTGATAAATAATAATATTCTCGCAAGTACATGTTTGTTTTTAGAAACAAGCTTTATACTAGGCAGTATACTCAGACAAGTGCTTCTAATATATAAAGAGGTATAAATGACAATAGTTTATTATAAAATAATTCATTTAGAAAGTTGAAGACGTTTTAGAAACTTCATTCTTAAAAGTATTTTAAAATTTATATTTCGCGCGCGCTGTGAGAAAATGTGGTGATCATCAGAGTCATCGTCGATCAAGAAGAATTTCATTTTCAAGCCATCGATAAAGAAGATTTCTATTTATATTTGACATTCAATTTTATTGTTCAATTGTATATTTTAAAAAGAAAAACGTTCGCTATTCATTCCTTAATCAAATTTAAATTCAGCAACACGCATTTTAAAAATCAATATCAATAAATCAGTTATTTTTGAAGTTTTAATCTATTAACTAATTTTAAATATAGAGAAGAATGCGTCTCTATAAAAACAGTACCGCTCGCGGTATCTAGCAGTGAGAGGTGGTACTATTAAAATAGAAAATTCATTTTTTCTTTAAAATTTTTACGTAATTTTCGCCAAAGAGCGTTCTCACAATTGTTTTCATTTGAAATAAGGAATTTATTTGAAAAATATAGCCAGAATCGAAACATGACGGTATTCCGAAGTTTCGCTAAAAATTGATAACGGTTTGGTAAAGTTAAAAAATTCTGAAGTCAATTATTTTTGCTCTTTGATATAATTTGATACATATTGAAGTCAAGTAAGCCAATAAAATTAATATTAATTGAATTAAACCGAAAACGATACATGAGACGTCATCTAATGGCAATCTATGGAAACTAATGAAACTACGGTTTCAAAATCGTGTAGTTCTATTTTACTAACAACGCCGCTCACAGCTGGATGGCACGAGAGGTACTATTCTCGAAAGCGCGCGTGAATATATATATGTTAAAATACATATACGGATAAACTTTCAAACACAGTTCAACTTTTTGAATTAATTTAGAATAAATTATTCGCTTTTATAACTTGTTTATATATTATATCATCAGAAAATTTCCATTGCAAATGTAATTTGTATTAAAAACTCAATTATAAACGAACGTTAACTCCCGTTTTATTGTAGTTTCTAGAATTACCTGTCTAACACATATACTACGCGATATAACAACTTTTAAAAGTAAAATTGTATTCCCCAAAATTTTAGCTTTTGTAAATTGGACATAATATCTGTCAATTCGCGAATTGCCGGTAGTAGAAGTCTACTTCCCTTAGCCACCATTTTTTCTAGGGAAACTAGATTTGCACTTGAGTCAACGTGATTTAGTGAAAGCTATAGTATATGCATGTGACATACATTGTACTAAATTTATCTACATTCATAAACAGAAACAGATTTGATTGCATACAGTTATGTAATACGTAGATATGCGTAATTGCGTAAAAAATATCTTTAATAAGCATGTACACAATACTTATTATTGAAACATGAAACATGAAGGAAAAATCAACTTTCATAAATTATCACATATAAAAAAAAAACCGATACCTCCATATGATATCTTTTTCAAGCAGAAAGTAATTTTTGTTGAATTACGAGTACTTTATAGCACTATATCAGTTTATTTTGTGTGATTCATTTATAGACACTTTATAGTATTTAGTTTATTGAAGACTCAATACCATAGATTACATAAGTAAAATATTTGCTCTATAAGAAATTAGGAATGATATTTAAACTCGTATTCTAATATTACATTAATAGTAATAATGTATATTATTTTTTATATAATTTCAGAATATACATTTAGAACATATGTTTAGAGTTTTGCAATGCCAACAACTCCACAAGCTTGACGAGCACCAGCATTTCCTGTGGTTTTTGATAATTCATGACCACCTTTACCTAGATCATCCGGATCAGCATGAACCTATTATTACATGAAAAAGAAACAGTTTATATTTATACATACATATATCTACAGAGAACAAATTATCTTAGATATATAGTTTACCACAAGAGTTCTGCCAATTATGTTGTTGGGACCTTGAAGCTGAATAAGTTTATCAGTTATATTAACATTGGCAACACCGTTAGCACCTGCTTCAATATTTCCTAAATCTCCAACATGACGCACATCTGCATCAGGAGCACCATGGTCTTTTCCTAATGGATTGAAGTGTGGACCAGCACTTGTACAACCTATTAAATTTATGAAAATTATAATGCAATAATATGTTTATAATATTTATATTGAATATTATTCATCCAATGAGAGAGATAAGATTTGTATTCAAAAATAAAAATAATGTTTATCGATGCAACATGACTGAAGGAGTTTATCAATTTTTGATAAAATGCTGGAATTTTTGAGGTCAAATGTTAATGATACGTAAAGCTTTTTGTTCAATAGTCTTAATAAAATTTTGTAATATTTATTGCCTATTACTGCAAAGAGAAATGTGACAGATTAACTTCTGATTAAACAAAAATATTTACATATTAATTAGTTGACCTCTAAATTTTCCAACTGTCATCCAAATGCTCATTTAACACTTTCAAAATTTAAATTATACTCGTTAACTAGTTAAAGATTTTTAATAGAAAATTACTTGATTTTAATCATCGTACGTACCGTTAGTGTTATCACCGAACTCGTGAATGTGAAAACCATGCAGTCCCTTTTTCAAACCAGATACTTGGCCTGTAACCTTTACAGTAGGGCTGTTCTCCTATTTAACAAAAAAAAATAACATAAATTAAATGCTGTTATTGAATATTACGCGACAAAAACGACAGTAAAAAATAGATACCGGTTGTTCGAAGTATAAAGTGCCCTGGGCATCTCCTTGAAGAACGCACACAGCTTTAACCATTTTCGAAAATTTGTTAGATATTCGGAACGACAATCGCTACTGAAGTGAAGCTCTTCGGCAATAACTATACAGTTAAATTACAACTTGTAATTATCGTTTTGCTGAATCACGAACGCAAATAAGCTGACGTATCGTACCTCCAGTACTTCAGACGATAAAATGATGACCTTACCGTTCAAATGAAATAATGGCGTATCACAAAAAATTGCATTCAATGACCATTGAAGATTGTAAACGATGAATGGAAAACTCACCTAGAATTTCATGAAAAAGAGAAACAATAAATAATTTTTTTATTTGAATTTTTATGTTTCATACGTTGTTACAGTTTCAATTGTTTGTTTAATAATTTTCAATAAACTTAGTATCATTAATAATAATATTTCAAATTATTTACAATAGTTAGCAACGCAACTAACTTCAATAGGTTCTTCATTACTTAGCATACACTTTTCATTTCGCCGGTTATATACTTGGTGTTTTAAATATACGAATAGTATAAAGTGCTATAGACCAGCCATGATCAAATTTCAAATTTTGAAAATTTAATTTCAGAAACAAAAGAATTTAAAATGCAGAAATTACGAATCATTCGAACTAGTTAAATTAATTGATACGTGCAAAATTATAAAGAATAAATTTTGTATTTATCAAATAGATTTGAAACACTATACATTTTATTTTAATTAAAATTTGAATGATTATAGCTTCAAAAATCCATTCTCACAAATTTGAATACAGTTCGACTTGTACAATCGATAATTTTCGATATATCGATAGTAGGATAGTCAAGTTGTTCAAGTTACGAAGTGAAATTTTGTTTGTGATTTTAAATCACTGATTTGTACTGGAGGTGATTTATATAGTTAATTAAATATTAAAAATGTCGAGAAAAATCGAGCATCGTCAAGTAACTCCACTGTTACAAATATTTCGAGAGTTGATACGAGGTGTAAGTAATATTTCAATAGTTTATTTAATCATTTCATGTTGTTCATTTTATTGAAATTACATAACCTTCTGCTTTTTATCGAATTTTAGTAGAAATATTTATTGTATGCGTTGTTAATAATGATCATTTGATAAGTTTAATTTTTTATTCGTTAAGAATATTGTGTTATTGGTTAAGTGTTGAATATTGTTAATTATACACTTACATATATAATATCATATTATCTAAGGAAATATATAATATATATTTATTTAAGAAATTTATTGAATATTATAGAAACCTATTAAAGAGGGATTGAGATTTACAGACGAATTAGCTTCACGTACACAGCCAGACCCAAATGTACCTGGTGGACCATATCATAAAACATCAAAAGTATATTACTTTACACGTGATGCTAGACGTCTTGTTGAACCTCCAATTGAAGTAGTTTCACGTAAACAAGTAACAGCAGGGTAATTATATTTTATATTTTATTTAAATATTGTTACAGATTTATTCTTTTTTTTTTGTGCAAACCAAAGGCTATGCTGACCTTAAAAACTATGGTGTTTGCACTTATAAATTATCAAGTGAATATTCTTTATTAATGCTGTAGAACTAGTATTATTGCAGTGAACATAATTTTCAATTGTTTTGTTTTTATTAATTGTTTTTATTTATAATTCTGATATAACTTTATAAATCTTATATAACTTAAATTAATTTCATTTATTGTAATCTGATATCTAATACTCATTATATTTATTTCAGGAAAGATGCTCCTAGTGAAATTAAAAGCTGTACTCCAGGTAAAGTTTTTATACCAGAAAAGTGAAATGTGATAAAACTGTTACGAATTATACTCTTGATTGTAGTATATAACAAATAGTATAAGTGTTAGGTAAGCATTGTGTGGATAATAATACTTCTAAGATACATGTGAGGATATATAATAAATTAAAAGTCATTTAATTACTTTCCCATTTAATATTTAACTGATAACAGTACATAGATAATAAACAGAGGAATGTTTTTCATGTACATGTTTTCTGCTCAATAGCAGATATATATAATTATTTTTTGAGTTTATAATACATTATTACATACATACAAAGCATTAATGCTTTCATAAAATTTATGTGAGTGTAAGGATAACATTGACACTGAGGAATTTGTACAGACAGCAGTTATTACACTGCTATATCTAACAATATGGTACACAATGTACTCTTTTAACAATCTCTGCAGAAATAATGAATTTCTCTGTCATAAACTAACAATTATAAACAGAGGTCTCGCGGAAACAGTTAATTTAATATGGAATTTGATTCTGATAATACTGTATCATGTCATAAGTTTTCGTACGGAAATTGAGGTAGCTGTTACGTATTACATTGAGCATATAGGCCGCTGCTTCACGGTCGGTAGCTGTCGGCACAAATCTACCGCGTAGAAGCTTTATTGTTTGCCCACGGAAACAAGGCAATCCAGTATCCAGCATAAGAGAAACCAGAGAGATAATTGCCTCTTGGTAGGGTCTGCAAAAAATGTTATGATCTAATTACAACTTCTGTATAGTATAAAGTAATAATAAGTATGGATATGTAGACAGTTTCTCAATTGTAAGAATTAGAAATTTCGAAATTCTTGAATCTCCAAATTCTCAAATCATCAAATGTAAACTATCAGGTTACTGAAATATCATTTTTGTAATGATCATAATTTACCTTACTGCTAGGAAAGCCTGCACACATAGCTCCATGAACCAACGGAAAGGTGCAGCTTCCATTTTACCTCCCATTACGAGCACCATCTCATCAGTCAGCTTAATATCAGGTTCAAAGCCTAAGTTACCGCCTGGCGAACTTTCGAACATGAATCCAAAATCGATATGTATGATGTGACCTTCAGTATCCAACATAATGTTACCATTATGACGATCCTTAATTTGTAAGAGATACGTGATCACGCTGTAGGCAGCCATTGATTTAACGAAATTGCGACGAACATTCTGAAATTCCTTTGTCGTTTCATCTCCATAACGTGTAATGAAATATTGATGCATATCAATGTCAGTGGTTCGACCAAGCTGGTCACGTGATGTTGCATTCGGTACACATTCTATAACACCACACTAAAAGGACGGACATAGTTTAAAATTCAGTTCGTGCTGTTTATCAAAAAATTGTATTGTAAAAGTGAAGTTACCCCAGGTGCTGTGGCTACTACTCTATAGGGGAACAAGAATAAGTTTAATCCAGCTTTTTCGAATATATTCTTGAAAATACTGATCACTTGTAGTGCCAACATATCTTGCCTAACATCGTCGCCAACTTTGAAAATAGCGGCCTGCCACGTTTCTTTCTCTACTTCTCTTTTGACATCTACTTTTCCATTAGTCGATACCGCTAACGCAATATTCTCTAATTCATTAATTCCATATTTTTGTACTTTAAAACGCGCCAAAAATGGCGCTTTCGCAGCACTGTAAATAATGATTATGTATTAGTATACAAAAATCACATGTGAAATATCATAAGTAAATAATAGTACCTCTGCATAGGAGTTCCGCTATCATAATCGATATCGACAACCATAGCCTCAGGATTAGACGGTAAATAACAACCAGGTTGTACCTGAATTTTCGACAAAGCTTTCAAGCACGCTGCTTTACGTTCAGGACCCTTAGGATATGGCCTTATTGTACCAGAAATATTCGTAATCTTTTCAAAGAATTCGAATTCTCTTTCATAGAATTGTTTTGCTGGGCCAGATAGTGATCCTAAGATACTTTTCACTAACGAGTCCAATACATCAAATAGAACTTGATCCTTTATCTGTTTATCTTCATCCATATACATATTTGTATGCATATTCCAAATTAATTGATGTGCTACTACCTGTATAAAATTAATAATAATAATATTTTGCAAGAAGTTTCTAAATGATAGCTTATCATTCATAAAGTACTCACTTGGGAACGTTTAGCAATTTTTTTTATAAATTCTATAACGTAACCCATTGTGTCATGGCGTACAGCCTGTACGAGTTGTGGTATATAGAAAAGCACAGCATCCGCTGGATAACTACTTAGCACCTCTACTGCGTATTGAGCAGAAATTGGATGATGAGGGAACTGACGAGAGAAGTATGCTAACGCTTGAATAGGAGATACCCTCTCCCATGTAAGCATATACACCAACTAAAATACATTGAGTTAATGAATTAGTTCCTTTTACAAAATTGTTAACATTAATGTTACTCAAATTGTATCTTACTTCAGGTACATCATTAAGTAACGTATCAGTTGTAACCAGGTATTGCAAAGCTTCAGGGATATGCATGACTGGCACAGGTTTGAGACGAACAAGCCCACATATTTCCTTAATAATCACGTCCGAATTTTTTAATCGTGCTGGTAAAAATACAGCAAAAGCGGGACTAATCTCCCACGCAAGACGTGTATATTCGCGCCATCGATCATTCATACCCTTAGCACGCCATTCTGCGATGCTTGTCTCTCCCGCAAGTGTGAGCTCTTGCCTACCACTAGGATTCCTCCATACCTGTAATTTAATCATGATTATCAAAAGCCTGATACCAGAAATACAAAATACAGAACAGAACTTACCAATAACATTTCTATCTCGACTGCTAGTAGTTCAAGAATTAAATTTCTCTTCTTTATGTAATCTTTTACGAAGACATTTGCGTTCATGACACGCTTACTGCGATTACTACGTTTACCCAGTGTATTACTACTAGTGGACATGGGGACTGTATTTATCCATACACTGGAAGCTGTTTTTGAGTAATCACTGTTTGTCGTGCTTAAGGCTGTACTTAAAGAACCAATTGTTTCGCTAGGTCCAAAACCACCGGTTCCAGATTGTGGTGTTGGCATTTCAAATTCACTTTCGTTACCAGTCATCACTAGATATTTCTTATCGCTATGCATCACCTAGGATATAATTAAAAATTATAAGAGTTAAAGAAAAATATTCGATTAGAAAGTATTCTTCGTTAGATCTATATTCACCTGCCAGAAACGTATGAGAGTAATTAAATCTTCACGCAATTGTTCCAATTCCTGAGTTGGTACCTGGCGATCTCTACAGAAATAGTCCAAACAATTGCAATACACACGCTCTCGTAGCACATTTTTGCTCAACGTCCTGAAAATCAAATTCATTGTCTATCCGTTTATTCACTAAGGTATATCGGTTGCTTCATCCTATACGAAACCTTGGTAAAATATCCCCTTGAAGAAGAAGTAGCCCGCAAGAAAGTAATTTAAAGCGTACACCAACAGCAGCAACATGACGACTCATTCCTGGTTCTTCACCAGAAGCACCGACAGTCATAGGTAGCGACCGATGTAGCATAGTGACAATCATCTCAACTGTCTGCTGGCAGCAGTATTTAGCAGTTTCAATCAGTTCCACGATAAAGGTAACCCAGATATCATGAGGTTTCACTTGCGGAGGATTTGGACCAAGCTTGCAGCCTTCATATACCGCCAATGGACTAACTTCTTCTTCGTCTGGAGCAAACAGACCCATTCTTTTATCAACGGTGTACTGCCAAGCAACGAGCATTTCTTGCAAGAAACGTAATTTGAGATCTGGTCTAACAGTGAGTATCCACTGCCAACATTCGACAGTTGTGGTCATAGCTGCTGGAGTAAATAATTCAATTTGCGAAGAAGCTACTGTGTGCAACAGACGCCTGTGGATTCCTGAAAACACGAATTTATATTATAAAATGTGTATGTTATATTGAGAATATTCTAAGTAATACGGTTAATTACCAGGCATAGAAATTAATAATGCAGTAGCACGCCAAAGAGCACTGCGATGCTTAACATCGTTCCGAGAACGACAAGCCATCCATACAGCATCGATTAATAAATCAACAACTTTATTCCTACTTTCTTCAAAAGATATTTCAGATGTCGAAGATTCAGTCTGAGCTAGTGACAACATTCCAGCTATTTCACCGGCATATCGTGCCCGCGTGGACATCATTGATAGAAGCCACGAGCTGACTCCTTTTGGACCTCGTGGTCTTTTGTCTAACGAGTTAGTCTGTAAAATAAATGTTTTGCTAATTCGAATCAAGGCATGGTTCACAACAACTTTAGAAGCAATCAAATTACATTTGGAATAACTGATGCTGGAACAGCGAGATCCACAAATTCAAGAACCGAGTCCGTAGACAGACATAAACCAGAGTGTTGCTTTAATCCGGAAGAGAGAATCTGATTTACGTATTCCTGTAAGTGTGACCTGGTAGCTTGCGGTGCCCACTTCATAGCTTCCTGTACTATGCCCTTACACCTTGCGGTGAAATCTTTTACGATAATCTGTGTTACAAAATTTGGTATTAGTTTCTGAAGAACTTGTATACGCAATATATGTATATATATGTCTGTACCTCTCGTGCCTCAAGTGTGTCCATAAGTTCAATACTATATAACGTGCCAGGTATTCGTAAAATTGGTGTTTCTTCGTTTGGATCAATTTGTAAGGAGAATGATAAAATCTATAAAAGTTATTTCATGAAATACATTGATACATGGAGATAGGATTAAATGAAATTCATACCTGTAATATGTCCAACATACTCCAGAGAACTTTACAGTTCCACAAAAGATGGGGAAAGGCATCTACCAATGCACTAAGGTACTTATCTGCTATTCGCCTAATCTGCTTATGTACATGATTAAAATGCACCAAAAGAAATTGAGCATGATTTTCAAGCTCCTTCTCGCGCCTCTCATCTTTCGGTTTGCGCTGCATGACGTCTTTGAATTTCACAAACACGGAATCAGCGACGCAGCATATACACTGCCACATACCACTTTTCTCCTTTTGTAAATCAGTATCGCACAAGTATTCCATTATCGGCTGTAAACTAGGCTCAGGACTGTTTGCCACCCTCAACGTTTCTAACCAGTAGACTGATAGTAGATATGTACATTGTGCAAATTGTAATTTTGTCACGTACTGCGATATATCGTTGGTCCTATGAAAAACATAGTGCTTTGACTGTGGTTCTCCAGTGCAAATTCATAAAGTCAAAATAGAGGTATTTACCGAGTACTTAATTTTAATATTTGACTCCTTAATTCTTGTAGTTCGTTTAGAGAAACACTGTCGTTACGTACAGCTGAAGTGTACTGTAATTCCCTCATCTCAAGCCGTGCGCTTGTTTGAGATATCAAATACGGTGATTTAACGGCGATTTCCTTGACACCTTCGTACCACTCCGCGGGCCATAATCTTGATGCTTGATCTCCAGCAAAACCTATCACGACACAATAAAGCCAAAAGTCTTTGAATAGCTTCAAAAGCCTTTTTTGCGGATGTCTGATTGGTGGAAGTCGTCGTACTAGTATAGCAATTACGGGAATGAGTACACCCAAGTTTCCTGCGCTGGTTGCGGCCTTCTAGAATATAAGGAAACAATTAAAATCAAATTCTATAGCAGCTGTGAGGTCTTAGAAATCCACGGAAACTAAAGAAATAAATATAAAGATATTATCAAATGTTCAATGTTAGTCTATTAATGCCCAGGAGTTGCTCATCACTGTGCCATAGGATCTAACAATTTTTTAAATTATTAATTTTAGTTACCGTAACAGTGACAATGGTGGATGCTTTATCACTGGCGCGTTTACCCTCTAATCCAAGTTGAACGAATAATTCAAGCAAATGAAGTAATAAATCGTTCAAATCTGTTTCACCATATAAATTTGCTGCTATGTTAGCGAGGGCATTCGTAACTGCTTTAGCTACATGACAATACTGTTTACGATCATCGTTCGAGGCGTATGTCGCTGTACTCGAACCCAAAGACATAGAAAACATTTGCATTATGCCTTCATAAATCTGAAAAGGTACAGTATTAATTTCTATAGCCCACTCGACCACATAATATTTAAAAATTTAGCAACTGATTCAATAATTGCTAATCAATTTTAAAACTCAACCTTTGATTCGCATTTTGCGATGATCATGCATCCTAACTGATCGACGATTAGAAAATCAAGATCACTCGGAGTGCGGCAAAATAATTGCTGAAAAAATGGGAATATTGTGCGCATAGTCTTTGGGGTGTCTTTCAATGCAACGGCAACGTGTCCCAACATTATTACTATGTTTTTTGAAATTAATTCACTATTTGATCTGTCATCAGATTCACTAAAATTATTGAAACGAATAATTCAGCTATGGTAGAAGCCAAAGTATAAATTAAAGAAACTGATTAAGATGAAACTTATAGAATTATGTGACAATACCCGTCGCATATATCAGCAGCGAATAACCTATTCGAGACACTGGCAACCAGTGCCGGTACACAATCAGGATTAACAGAATGAGCAGCTTCTAAAGCAATACAAAGATTTCCAATAGCTGCGTCTCGTAATTTTTCAAAGGCTGTATGTATCGATGATGTCGTTTGTTTTGGATCATGCATATCTTTTCCTATAAAGAATATTTTCTTCAATTAATTACAAATAACACAAGATGTTATATTAACCCTTTGCACTCGAAGGTAATTTGACTGTTTGCAAACAACAACTTTAAAACTTAATTAAAAAGTTAAATGAATTCTTTTGAGGTTTTATTATTTCTCTACTAATAATTTCCACTGTTGTTTGTTTTACTATGTTTATACGTCACACGTGTCATATTATAGAATCAGTTAAAAAATGCTCATTTCAAATTGTATTAAATAAAATGGTAACTGAGAGCCACCTCTCGAGCGCAAAGAATTAACTAATTATTTGATATTACCTTTCTCACTCCGTTGACGGTGTAGTTTAAGAAGTATAGGTGATGGAACAACGAGAAAATCTCTGAGATAGTATATAGAAGTACTTGCTATGTTAGGAAATTTCTGTGCTAATTTTCCTAATCCTTCAAGGCAAACCATTAATAAAGGCATATGTGCCAGCACCAATTTTGGTCCATGATTAGAATTGATTTTTTCAACTAGACGACCGCATAAACTATCTGCACCTGTAAGTAATTCCAGTTACATAAATACAGTTCACAAGTATGGATTAAAAATCATATGTCGATTGAGCAACTGTTGTTAATTATAAACCCTGTCAAGGAATGGAGAAATCCGTATAAAAAGTAATGTTAACATTGGCATGTTTAACATTGGCATGACTAGCTAGAACCTGATCAATTCAAAGTATGGATTGGACCTCTCCATGTAGCATGGGGTACATAGGATGTAGAATACCTCATATACCTCATGTTAGAAATTTTCATAATTACAAATTTTCAGAAGTTACAGTTATGCCTGGTATGTGGTGTTGCACTATTAGTAAAGCTAGGGGACCTGACTCATCTTGATCAAAAATCCTAATTGCACCAATGACTTTGAAAAGTATAAACGTAATCATGTAAAAACGATTTTGGCTGTACAACGTTCATTGATTGTTTCAGCAGACAGTTAGAATGAGGTACAGAAATTATGTATGTTTAGTGGAATAGCAATTAGGCCAACAAAGTTAACGGGAGATCCGCGTTAACGCATTATTGAGTCGTAAGGTATACTCGTTAGTTAAAACTATTGAAAGTTATCATAGATGAGGATAATCAATCGAAATGCAATATAAGCTAAGTTCGAATACCATCGCCAATCAGCATGGAACTGATATCTGCAAATAGCGCAGATAAATCATACTGGTTTCTCACTGTAAAAATAACGCAACGATCTATAGATAATTTAACCAATACAGATTTTCATTTACTTTATAATTTTACTAGTATGTGGAAAACAAAATTAAAACATGTTCCTATGGTTCTCTGAAGTATAAAGTTACTACTCTATAGTTTTGTCTTTTGCTTACCAGTTTCATCGCCAATCGCCCAAACAAGGAGATCGACGCAGGCGGAATTAGCCATAACGTTTACTTTAAACCTATTTACAGTTCGAAAATTAGTGTCCATGTCTTCGCGTTCGCTCGCGTCGTGTTGACGAGATTGTAATTCCGTCTGACCGGACAAAAAGAGGCCCTTTACAAATTCTTGCACATCTTTTGTGAAAGGAGCTGGCAAATCTCGTTGATTTTGCAATAATTCCCTTAAAAGAGCAACCATTACTAAATTCATGGTCTCGTTAAATGTTCGATAAGGAAATATCAGCACCTGTCCCGAATTATAAACCTAAACAGATTGTAAATAGTTAGATAAGATTAGTCACAAAATATAGAGAATTTATTACAAAACAGTAAAACTAACTTGCTGAGCTTCTTCATCGAGAAACATTAAAATTTCTTTGGTAAGCAATTTTTTTGCCAAAGCTAGTACACTTTGCAAATGAACTACGCTAAACTGCAGCCCAGCTCTCCTCTCAGGACTTTCATTGCACCTCATTTGAGGAAATTGATTGAAACTTGATCCGTATCTACTAAAAAAATATGTAACTGGATCATAAGGTATCGATGAATATGAATTTAGTGACGGTCGTTTATCACAGGGATTATCGTGATCCCCAAATAATAGGCTTGGTGCATTGTCAATAGCTGGATGAGGATTTAAATTGCCACTTAAAGACCGTGGAATGATAGGTCGAAAGTTTGAAAAACTATATTGCTTTCTATCCGACATTACACGTGTTTCTGTGTTCGGTATTGACAATGGTGGTACTGGTTTTGGAAATATGCGGCAAAGAAGAGGTGGATCCGTGCACGCGAAACGACCCATTGATCGAGCTAGACCAATCAAAACTGGAACTATGCACTTGCATAATGACACTGAAAAAAGTAAAAATTAAATTATTATGGTATATAATTAAATTGGGCAATAATGAAAAGAAAAAACTTACATTTTGCTTGCATTCCTCTGCTTCCATTTTGATCTCTGTACCCTCTTATAAGATTCGTTAAAACTGCCAATATCTCTACTTGAGTAGAAATTATTTCTTCGCGTACAGGTTCACATCTAGCTGCAACATCACTAAGCAATGTGTTTAAACAAAAACTAAAGCGTTCTGCCACAGGAATACGTTCACTAGGTGAACATTTGACCTCATCCAACCAAACAGCTTTCGGAAGGCCGCGCAGTAACCTTAGAAAGTAAGGCAATATCCGGTCTCGATGTTGTAAACCAGATTCCAAAAAATATATTCCCAGTGCAATGGTTGCATCTTGACCTCTTTGATCTAACCGGTATATGCCTTGAGCAGATTCTTGTGGGCATAACTTGAATAGTTGCATCACCTGTATTAATCAAAATTACATATAATTTTATTAAACTGAAATAATTTTGTTTGTCAATAATGATATAATAATAATAACAACAGTGATTAAAAGAAAGTGTTTGTAACTACTGAATTGTTACATGTTTAAGTTCAGTTGAATAATTCTTGTAAATATCTTTATATCATATCAGGAAGGTACATTAAACACTCACATAATATATTTTGTAACAAGAAATGTTACTTTATTTAAAATAAAGATACATTAAAAATAATTACATAACAACACTAATATAAAATAATACATTATTTAAATTAAAAGTAAGGTAATATGTTAGTTACTTAAATAAAATGACTAAAGAGTTATTTTTCCCAATTTTCATGCACACATGTCATGTTAACATTGGGTGCAAATTTAAAATAAAATATTATAAATTAACAAATATACGAAGAAAATTTATTGACCCATAGAAATATGTATGTTTTATGATTTTTAAATTATCTGCAAAAATAACTTGATAAACATTGAGTTATGTATGTGACATATGACAAAATGCTTTTATTTACAAGTGTAGTGACATTAATTATTAACTACAAACGTTTCATTAATGTACAAACTAATTAGCAGATTGTCCTTCGAATTATATCATAAGATGACATATCAGGATCAGCTGACACGTCCTTATGATTAACCTAATCCTGATTAAGTAAATGTCAAACTTTTAGCAACGTGTGAATAACATGAAAACGTTATATTAATTTACAATTCATAATCACTAATTAACACACCTTTTCCCATGGCGTAGGTTTAATTGCCGCCAGACATCTAGCTAAATGTTGGACGGCTTTCGAGAAAAACAACCTTTCGTCCGCCACCATTTTGCCCACTGACTACTTGCTGTACGCTTCCTGTAAATATCGTCTGCTGGATCGTTGACAGATCGTTTCGAGATATCGATTCTTCAAACTCGAAATTTAAATTCTCGCAGTTATACGAAAACTTCGATACAGTGTTTATACCGAGTGCATAATTATTAAAAATTGAAACTTTATTATTTATTTATAATTGTGTACAAACTAATTAAAAAATAAACAATCTTAAACACTCAGGTGGAAAAATGACTGCTGATAAAATTTTTGTATATAAATGATTATTTGTAGAAGAAATATATCTTTTACAGAAAATGACTAGGTACGTAAATCTTATTTTAATATTTTATATTATATCGCTGCGGGTTACATCACGCGTTATATTACACAATCGTTTAAATTTAAATAAAAATTTTTATTTATCACAATTACAAACTATTTATGTACACATGTTTATATGGCAATTTTTAGTCCATGATAAATAATATTCTAATTTTTTACAGTGTAAAAGTAGAGCTTTCTTTGACAAATTTACATTATCTATATTATATCTCTGTGCAAATTTTTTTGAAAATTCTTTATTCTCAGCTTTATTTGTGTTTTTGGATATTGCTTCTTTAGTTGCCATTAATAATCTATGTAATTCAGAAAGGGCTACAGCAATATAAAGATATTTGTTTCTACTGTCCGGTCCTTGCATTATCAAATTTCCAGCTTCTTGAAAAGCTGATAAAATTTGATCATCATGTGGTAACCAAGTACACTAAAACAATAATAATGTCTTTAATCTTTAATGAACACATATAAAAATGTAACAGTGACATTACTTACATTGATAATATTTTGAACAACAGAAGCTATTGCTGACTCCAAAGTTTCATAAATTTTATTCATTTTTATGTTGTCACAAAGATCAAGAAAGACAATTGTAGTTTCTATTGGACAACTTAAATAATCCCCATTATAGTAATTAGTTATGTATGCATATGCATATATTACATTCGTTATGTTAAAATTAATTGTTGGAGAAGCTTTCTGTAATAGATGAAATAATCTTTTCATTGTTTATAATGAAATCATTTTACTTAAAAACCTTACTTTTCAAATTACCTGTAATTCATTAAATATTGGAACATCAACTAAAGGAGGAAGTTGCTTTGTTTGTTCATTGTCTTGTTCATCTATGTCTTCCACAAGTTTCTTTTTGATGTGGTATGTCCACCATGGAACCCACTGAGGTAATAATTTCTCTATTTCACCATTTTTTATTAATGCTTCAAATTCCTGTCTTTCAGCATCAGTTAATGCAGACCATACCTCATCTGCATTATCTAAATTTACTTCACGTAGTCGAATCTCTAAATCTAGTACCTGAAAACATCCAATGGAATATTAAAAATAATTCATATAAAAATTAATTAATATGAATATAGGATTTGTTTACATCTTCATCATCTGAATCGAGCTGCTCATTTAACTCGTCTTCTTCTTCTTCATCTTCATCGCTTCCTAAGAAATCAGTACTTTTTAAATCTTGTTCATGCACCCTTCTAAGAATATCTATCATTTTGTTTCTAGTTTCTGGATCTTTTTCTTGAGATTTTAATTCGTCTTCTACACACTGTTTATAAAAACTTTCTGAACATTCTAAATGAGCTTCTGACTTATAACAATTGGTACTGCAATATCCTATATCACATCTTGGACAAGTATATAAACGAGGTCGAACGTTGCATCTAAAATCAAGGCAATTTATTAGAAACAAAAAATGAATAACTATTTAATGACACAATAAATTTATGTAATTGAATATTATTTACAAATAAATTTTTAGGTTAGGCACATAATACATACAATTTACAAACGTTATCTGAATTCGTTGCACTTGTTCCTGGATTGTCCATTATTTTTCTGTAAATATATTTAAAATTTTGAACATTAAACTTATTAATACTTGTCTTCAAAACAATTTAATTGACTTTAAACACAGAATACGTTTCTAACGTTGTAATTATGGTCCGCGAGTGTACAACGTATAATGAAAATAAAAATAATTTTTAATTAAATCAGGGATTCTTATACAGAAAAAAATTAGTGTACTATAAAATTTTATTGTTATAATTTACAAAAATAAACACATGTAAAACCTAACTTAAAATTAAGATTTTTCGACTAGAACACCAGTCTTTAATCTTTTATATTTGAATTCAGGTTCTTTTCGTTTGCTTGTCCAAAATTTCGTTTCTATTTTTGACAATATCCATTCAGAATCTACAGCAACTTCCTTACATTTTAAATAATTTGCTTCATCATCTATGTCCACAATTCTCCTTTTCTGATGTATTTCTTCTTTTTCTTTAGTTACTATAAATTTCCCAGAGGAATTGAGTAATTTAATACCACAGTCATTACCCTCGCTCTCTTTTTCATTTATTGTATCATCTTCTACTTCGTCATTGATTTCAACAGACCTAAAAGAACAAAATTGTTATTTTACAAAATGATAACAGACAATTCAAAATAGACAAAATATTATTAAAAATCTGTATACTTCTCTAATATTTCATTTAGTTTCTTTGCCACATAATTCTGAAATGTTGGAGTGACACCAAAATTTGAAAATTCATTTTTTTGTGATAAATTTTCCCTTAGACTTTTAGAGGAAGTTTTATTCTGTTCTGTATTATTTAAAAACGAAAGATTAGTTAAATCAATTATGCTGTACGCGATAAAGAACAGAGTTTCACAAATAATTAAAAGTGGGGTTATGATATTTACTACCTTGGTCGCTTTCAGACTTTGTCGGGGATTCGTTTACATTTTCAAAAAATTGATTATCCACCGCTTCTTTTAATGCATTTTGCAACGTTTCATCTTCAGAACTGCTTGAGTCGCTATCGCTTGCGTTTAATATTGTCATTTTTTTAAATTTGATTGTGTATAGTCAAAAGAACGCATGCGTGCTGTCATAGATTATTAAGTGTACAGATGCTTACAAAAAAAATTATTGCCTAGATAGTGCAATCTTGCGTGGGAGTATTAAAGCTACATACAATTTTTGTATGTACATATCTGCCGATAAATTCCATCTTCATCGGTAGAGTATTTCCCGCCATTTTAATCATAGTTGAGCGTTTCACCGCCCAGTGACGCGACAACAATCGATAATCGAATCGAAACATTCGCAGTTTTGTTCATAGTTTTGTAATTTATAAATGACAGTGTGAAATCAATCTGAATTTAATTAACTCATTGCCGAAATTTGTTTATTAGTTAGTAGTTATAAATTTTTGTACAGAATGTGAGTACTTAAAATGCGTGTAAAGATGTTACGTATATTGTACAATTACTCGGTAGAAATGATACCCTTTGATAGCAATTGAAAACACAATTCTTAAACGCATTTGTGATGCCCAGAAGCTCGCTTCGTTTTTCCACGAAACGTATAACAGTCAATTAACTATCACACATTTTTAATACAAATTTAAAGCTAACATAAATTACTCGAATTTCGAACGAAAAGGAAGGAAAATAAATGAGAAAGAAAAATTCGTATTTTCAAACTGTATGTATAATAAAAAAAGGTTAAGAGAGAAAGGAAATCTTTGGTATGAGCAGAGTACAGATGAAAGTATGCAAACCATCGCATCGTTCGTGGATTACCATTATTTTTTCTTTCGATCGATTGTTGCAAAATTCACTAACGCCACACGTAGAAAAATCGTATCCCTCGAAACGATAATCGTGTATAAATCGTCGAAGGTGCATGAGATGACAAAGAAAAGAAGACCATGACGAGAATAAACAAACTTTGGATTACTTGGAAGTGTCTTAAACATAAACAATGATATATTTTAAAATATTATAATTATTCTCTGTTCGAGAAGAAAAAACACTTCGACTAAATTATGTCAACGTGTTAACGATAGATTAACAAGAAATTACAGGCGCAAAATTATTCATCGATCGTTTCTGACCTATTCGATGCTGGCTCGAAAGGAACAATTCGTAGAGACGTGTGTGGTCTAGAAACTAAATGGACGGGCGAAGTCGAATATTGCCAACGATGTTTATGTACACGATAATGATAATCGTTTTCTCTCGTCCCCTAATAATTTAATTCTTAATATCTAGATACATTTAATTATATATTCTCACTTTGCATCATCGATCTCTTATACGTTTTATTTTTTTTCAGCTTTTTTAAATCCTTTTTAATTTAGTGCGCTTCTGAGAGGTTTCATGTACACTGTTGTTGCTGTTGTTCACTTTTTCTGTTCGCTGTGGTGTACATGTGTGTGTGTGTGTGTGTATTCGGTTGGTATTTTTTTTTTTTTAATTAAATCGTTTGGCTTGCATCTTTTTTCAACATATTAAGTGTATAAAATATACAAGGAGCAAAGTTCACAGGTACATTTTATACAATTATCCGTTGTATAATTAAACGTTCTCGCTATCTAATTTATTTATATTTGATGTGTGCATCGATTGTTTGGCTCTGTTCGTTTTCCTCCTGCTGTCTGTCTTGTTTCGCATATAACATAATTATATATACTTATTTATATATATAGATCCTTCCTTCGAACTTCAATGTACAATACGTAACGTTTTATTTTATTTTATTTTATTTATTTATCTTTTTTTTTGTTTGCTAAGGCATTCGTTATGGCAAGTATATTTTTAAAGGTGCTGATGTCTAAACGCGCGTGAATACTTTGTTTTTTTACCATTTTCGTACAGTTTATAAAAGTATATTGGCCAGTTACGTAACTTCTAATTAGCCGGCTACGTGTCGAATCACTTAAAAAATTAATTCGCTCGTTAGAAAAAGAACTAATCTGCATCGTTTATTTTCATTTGTTGCTGTTATTTGTGTCTCATACATCGCTCTCATTCCTCTCTTCGCATTAAATTGCAGCGTTTCTTTTTATTCTTTCCATCCTTTATATTGCATGCATCTTTCATCAATATGCAGACAATTCGCCATCTTTTCTTCTTGCTTTAACACGTTTCACGAAATGGACAACAAAAAGTAATAAATGTTTGAAATAATTTTAATTAAGAAATTTAAATAATTTTGAAATAATTTTAATTAAGAAATTAGGCGAAGTGCAAAGATTATAGTACGTCATATCAGACGAAGGGATAATTAAAACTCAATTATGAGGGGTCATAAACATAAGTAGAGTAAATTTGAATACTCATTAATTTGAATTTCAAATTGGTGTGGAAAGATATTCAGATCAAATATTTGCATGTTTACATCCCTCTAATGATTCATGAATGGATAAGAAACGTGTTAAATAACCATAATCAAATTTTCCCTCATGCAAACTTTTCATTAGCATCTGCGTGTGTACGTGTATGAATGTGAAGTGTTGGTGTATACCAAGCTGCAGAATGGTTTCGATTAAACCCCTCTATTCAAATAACACGCGTATCCAGCGATCTGTATACTTGCTTGAGAGCTAGCCTCGAACTGCATTTTCTACACACGCACACGCATCGTATACACTGTATGTACATGTGTTGACACGTGTTAGGCGAACATACGTGTAGCAGAATTTTCTAACGTGTTGGGTGGCTAGGTCTCTTTGCAATGGTGTAGTGATTAACGATCTGATTAAGTATTAGATTGTTGCACACGAAATGGCCCGTTTGTTAAACAAAGTTTGAACAATAATTTTTGTCGAATTCTTTGGAGTATTTAATTATACTTTGATGATTATTCTGTGGATAATTATTACTTGAGACGATTATATTGTCTCCACTTTCAAATTTATTATGTTACATTAAATGTAATAAAATATTATTACGTTTAATTATATGACGTGATTACTTTAAAGAGGAGGGGAGGTGATAGGAGGATAAAATTTCACCATAATTACATTAAATGAATTTTAGATTTATTTTTACATGCAAAATATCAGGTAATGCAATTTTCTTTTTTTTTTAGGATTATTATGTAGAGGATAACCTTCCTCTCTTGGATACATGTATTCTGATTAGGTTTCATTTATCTTTAAATTATTAGCAGCCTTGACTGTGGAATATTCCGACTGAACTTTGCGAAATAATCAATAAATTTTGTTTCTTCCGCTATTTGTTTTGTTTCCTACCCTCAGTAAGCCATATTGTAATAAAAATATCGATGATACACTTATGCAGTTATTTTTGGCAAACTATAAGCTCCAAATCGATGTAAGTGCTCGTGATACTTTTATGTCATGAAATTTTAATAACCATTATTGTGTCGAGATTAGCTGTTTAAATCATATATGAGTTTTACTTTGGTACATTGTTTCTTATGATCGATACCTGACCATTTTGCATTAAATATATTAATGAAATCTTTATGTAGCCACTGTTATTAAGCTCTAGGCTTGAAATTCGTGTATCGCAAGTTCTATCTTGTAATACTTTTATGTCATGAATTACGTTTCAAATTTATCTGTTTGAGCAGCTTGTGAATTCGATTCTGATGAACTGTTTGATATAATCAACAATTAACCATTCTTGGTAAAAATTATTAACGAAACGCTTACGTAGTTATTTTTGTCGAACTTCAAGCTTCAAATTGATATAACATAAGTGCTATTCAGAAATACTTTTATGTCATGAATTTATAATAGAACTATTACGTTTCAACATTTGTTTGAGCAGTTTGTGAATTTGATTCTGATGAACTGTTTGATACAATCAATAATTAACTGTTTTTAGTTAAAAATATCAATGAAACGATTATGTAGTTATTTTTGTCGATCTTGAACCTTCAAATTGATATAACATAAGTGTTATTCAGAAATACTTTTATGTCATGAATTTATGACAGAACTATTACGTTACAACATTATCTGTTTGAGTAATTTGTGAATTCGATTCTGATGAACTGTTTGATACAATCAATAATTAACTGTTTTTAGTTAAAAATATCAACGAAACGCTTACGTAGTTATTTTTATCGAATTTCGAGCTTCAAATCTATATAACATAAATGATATTTTGTGATACTTTTATGCCATGAATTTATAACAGAACTATTACGTTTCAACATTATCTGTTTGAGCATTTTATGAATTTACCATAAAATAGATTATAAAATTAAAAACTGAAAAATAGACGTTGAAATTAAAAACTGGCCATTCGACATGCAACAACCTAAAACTTGAAAAAACTCTGTAGTCACTATTCATTAGCGATCGTCCCTATTAATAATCACTTCTATCAACCGCTCATTCAGCAGTGAGTCTAAATAGCAAAAAAACCGAAATAATCGTGTTGAAATGGTGACTAGAGAGGCGATAACAGAACGTCAGTGAATATCGGGAGATATCGATTAGTCGTGTTGACGAACTAAAATCTTTGTCTTTAATGTACTACACCATTGGGCCTTCATCGGACGACGGATTTACAATGGAACGAAAGTACATGCTCAAAATGATTAAACATCGCTTTTCATTGTATTTTCATGCTCTCTTGAACGAGATAATTCTACCCGGAACTATAGAGGAATAGCTTGATCGATTTTTAATCCTTTCGCGCACTCGATCGTCCTCACGATTTCGTTATTCAGACTATATCGAACGTGCCGGGAAAGGAGAAAGAAAAAGAAGAACGGAAAAAGAAATATCGAGGAGAAAGGAATTGACTCGTTGGTCGAGCGCGAAAAGTTAAACACCGATACGAAACTCAATAATTGAACAATCAGTTCCATTACATTTTTTTCTATCGTCACCTTTTATCTTCTGGTTCCATGTTAATTTCGCGGTTACAATGATTATAGTGCGCCTCGAACAAGCACCTATGAGCTGTATAATTTTTTTGTTCTTTTGCTTTTGTTTAAATCCGCTACTACGCTTGCTGTGTTTCTTCTCTTGGGCTGCGCTCGCTCTCTCTCTCGCTGTCTCGTTTTTTTTTTTTTTAGTTTAATTCGGTGCACACCGTTTCGAAACACTTGGTAACAAACTTAGCGAACGAACGAACGATGTCTAATAGAAAAAACGTCAAGAGATTCGTACCAGCGCTTTTGCAAATAGCATACATACAGATTCATACGATAAGCGCGACGCGACGCTCGCTCACGATGCACGCTTATGGTGTGAATTTTGTAGAAAACTCTTTCGTAGAAAATTGACGCTAGGGTAATGTTAGTTTCTCTCAAATCGTATTCTCGCATTCTCTCCCGCTCTCTGTCACTCACACGCACACACAGTTTCTCTCATCAGTTTTCTTTTTTATTTTTTGTTTCTTTACAAGGCGCTACTACGCAGGTTTCTCGCGCGACGAGGATGACCCTCTACATGGTGTCACACTACTGGGATCTCCTCCCGTGAAAACGGCTAATGGATCACGGAATCAACTAAACTATGCGGATCAACCAACAGTTCCGTCGATTTTTTATACAATCGAACGATTTTTCGAGGGCGTTTTACTCGTTGGTGCACAATGACCTCTTGCTATATGGCATTATTCGACTTTCGAATCTACGGATTTTCAAATTTTGGAAACTTGGAAATTCACGTAGTTTTAATTTACAAATTTTTTCGTTCAGAAGTTTGGAAATTTTGGGATTTGCAATTTTGAAAATCAGGAGCTTGGAAATTTAGAAATTGTCAAGTTCAGAAGTTTACAAATTTAGAAATTGTCGAATTCAGAAGTTTATAAGTTTAGAAATAATCAAATTCATGAGCTTACAGAAATTTGGAGATTTACACATTTTTAATTCTAATTAAATTTTTTTTTTTTTTTTTTTTAGTTTAATTCGGTGCACACCGTTTCGAAACACTTGGTAACAAACTTAGCGAACGAACGAACGATGTCTAATAGAAAAAACGTCAAGAGATTCGTACCAGCGCTTTTGCAAATAGCATACATACAGATTCATACGATAAGCGCGACGCGACGCTCGCTCACGATGCACGCTTATGGTGTGAATTTTGTAGAAAACTCTTTCGTAGAAAATTGACGCTAGGGTAATGTTAGTTTCTCTCAAATCGTATTCTCGCATTCTCTCCCGCTCTCTGTCACTCACACGCACACACAGTTTCTCTCATCAGTTTTCTTTTTTATTTTTTGTTTCTTTACAAGGCGCTACTACGCAGGTTTCTCGCGCGACGAGGATGACCCTCTACATGGTGTCACACTACTGGGATCTCCTCCCGTGAAAACGGCTAATGGATCACGGAATCAACTAAACTATGCGGATCAACCAACAGTTCCGTCGATTTTTTATACAATCGAACGATTTTTCGAGGGCGTTTTACTCGTTGGTGCACAATGACCTCTTGCTATATGGCATTATTCGACTTTCGAATCTACGGATTTTCAAATTTTGGAAACTTGGAAATTCACGTAGTTTTAATTTACAAATTTTTTCGTTCAGAAGTTTGGAAATTTTGGGATTTGCAATTTTGAAAATCAGGAGCTTGGAAATTTAGAAATTGTCAAGTTCAGAAGTTTACAAATTTAGAAATTGTCGAATTCAGAAGTTTATAAGTTTAGAAATAATCAAATTCATGAGCTTACAGAAATTTGGAGATTTACACATTTTTAATTCTAATTAAAAAATTTGGAAATTTTCAAATTAACAAGTTTAGACATTTAAAATGTTACATATTTTCAATTTACAAACATTAAAATTTGAAAGTTCAGAAATTTAACAATTTACCTATATTAAATTAAAAAATGATCAAAATTCAGAAATTCAGAAATTTATATATTTTTAATTTAAAAATTTTCAATTTTAGAAATTAAAAAAGTAAACACCTTACACATCTTTAATTTAGAATCTTTTCAAATTAAAAAATTTAGAAATTTTCAAGTACTGAAGTTTCAAATACAAAAATTTTCAAATACTGAAGTTTATAAACTGTGAAATTTATAAATTTTTAAATTAAACTTGGAAAATCAGATATTCTAAAATATTAAAAAATCACAAAATTTTAAATTAAATTAGTACTCCTAAGTCAAATTTAGTGATTTTCAAATTAAGAAATATAGTCATCTAGTTATAAAATTTACAATTTGAGAAATTAATAACTAGTATTTTCTGAATATTAATATATAAAAAATAATTTCGAAACTTGAAAATACATAAATATAAAACTACAAAGCCTTACGAATTGTTTAAAAATTTCAAATATAAATTTTCGAATTTGTAGATTTACAAATTTAAATACATTTACAATTCTTCTATATTTTTTGCCAATTGTATTTATTTTCCTGTTACTGCATTTATGGCCATATATCGAGACTCCACTGTGCTATAACACCGAGTCACTTCCATTTTTGCTTGCGTAACGTTCTTATATTTCTCTATAAGACGCATACGTTGCGTCGTCCGTTGCCAGCGCAAGTAGGGACGCACGAGGTGCGTCTTCGAGATCGCGAAAAAGGGAGAAAACGTTGAGATTCAGTCGCTAAGCTAACAGACTCATCCTCTACGTGGTCTACAAGGCAATCGACGTGTCGGTTTCAGCGGTGACGATCTGTTTCTTTATTTTTTTTTTAATTTTTTAATATCTTCGAGTTCGTTGTTTCGATCACGTGCGTGGCTTAGAACAGGTAGAAAAATCAAATTCGATCTCGCTCTGGAATTAACGAGCGATTGGATCTATCATCGACTTAGGTTCTAGGAGAGACACCGATTTTTTTTTACAACGCCAGTCTTGCGTCACCCTGTAGAGATCACCGAGAAACGCTTTGTCAGTGTTTACTGTCTAACGAAGCTTAGCATTCTACTTGGCATTGGACAGTCGCATGTTTCATTATCGATCGTCTTTTTTTTTTAATTACGCGTTCGATCCTTGAAACCGGAAACGGAAGTGTTTAGTTAGGTGTGTGCTCTACACTGTGTCACCGCTACTTGTTCAGCTCGACTACGCTGCTCTCACGACTTGACGGATCTCGACAGGAATTTTCATTTAGGAATCATCGAGGTGAATTGCGAGACTCTTTTTATTTATCTTTGGGTGGGGTAGTGTCTTCGAGAAACTTTGGATCCTTGTCTGGTGATGGATCTTTGATTCAATGCAGGAAAACTTTTACGTACTCTGAAAATCTTGATTTTCATGTGAGGAATGCATGTTTCAGATGCATTTTGGTATGTCTGGTTATGTGGTGTTAGAACAGTGTCTTCTTATTTATGGAGTGAAATTAGAACACTTGTTTTATAGTCAGTAGTGTGTTTCAATAATTTGAATGTAGGTGTATTGTTGAAATTTGAAGACGCAATGACATCTATGTGTAATATTCTAATAATAAACAGAATATTGAATTCGATTATCATTTCAGTTAACAAAATGATGATTTCTCCTTATTTACTTTCAGTTTTTCTTGCATTTTCAATATTCTTATGCAGATTTAGAAATCCTAGTAAGAACAACATCTACAATCCAACGACAAATTAAAATTTGCTACCAAACTTCACACATGTGCAATATCGTAAGAGTTATCTATGGCTCAACTTTATATATCTTTGCATGTATCTGAATATATATGTAACATTACATCAAATTATAAAAATTTGATACTTGAAATGTAGAGAATTTTTTCATTAGATGATAGAAAAATATGCTAATATTGGATTGGATATCCATTTCATTCAAGAAAATAACAAATCCTCTATTTTCAGTTTTTCTTACATTTTCATGTTCTTTAAAATAATTGGCAAATCCATTGAAAAGTTAGTTAAACTTTGATAAATAAATAAAGTTTATTCTTGAAATTATAGTATTTAATGTTCATTAACTTTTCATATTGTTGATTATTTTAGTTAATATTAGGTAACAGTAAGACTCATACTTCACTTAAAACAGGACAAAAATATAAATCTTTTAAGAAATGCACTCGGTTCTTGATATCTTTAAACTTTAGAACCTTGAAAGAGCATCGTAAGTGACAAATATATAACACTAGAATATTTCCTCTGGTAGTACTTGCTTTTGATTTCAATACTACAGAAAGTAATTAACTCTGATTAGCAGATGTAGTAGTAACAAAATGTTTGAATAATATGCGTATGATATTTTTAAGAAAACTGATTTTGATTTAGTTAGTACAATTACCAAATAATACTCACTGTAATTTTTATATTAATGCTTATAGGAACTTAGAATTGTGGTACTTTGAAATTAAAAAATTTTAGTTTTAAAACTTTTCAACCTTGAGATATCAGAACTTTGGTATTTTAAAATGTTAGTACTTTGTCGTTCTTGAACTTTGATTCACAGCAACTTTGAGGTCTTGTAACTTTGTGACTTATGAACAATTTATGAACAGTAACAAATTACAAGAAAAATTACCATTTTAGAAACTGTATCTTGTCCTCCAAAAGTTTGGGAAGTCTATATGAATAAAGCAAAATAAGTAACTTAATTATTACAATTTGTTAATAAAATGACATAATCAATTTTCAAAATCAGTTTTCCTGTGAATTGTATCATTTCCCCATGACTTCAAGCAACAGTATAATCATTTGATAAATTGTCCATCACCAGACGTGTCCATAACGTGCTTCCATAAACACGGGAAAATTATTTTACCGTCTAGCGAAAAATTTCGCCGTGAACGAATTCTTAGTCGCTCGAAACGAAACGTCTGATATGTAAGATCCGAGATACACATTTCATGGCGCTACAGTCTTTTCTCAGTGTAATATACTTCATTTTTAATATTCTGCCACTAGAACGTCTTCATTATCGTATTTCGTCCATCCTCAAACTGCAATCGATCATCTCGCAATTCATCATCATTTCGTATCGAGAACTGAATGATCTGTGAACGTATTCGTCGTTTTATTTCTATCCCCCCGTTTAATTGAACATCATCATCGTCATTATTCCCGCTATTACAGGTCACAATTTACTGTACCATTTCCGATTTCCGGACCCCTTTCGTTTCTGCTATAACTCGCGAAACCTATCTTTTCGTCGATACAAAAACTAACTTCACCTCTTTGTATGTAATTTGTTTTATTTATTTATTTTTTTTTTGTTTGTTTTCTTAATTACGTCTCACTCTTTTTGCTTCGGTAGCAATAATAACGTGCATCTGGAACGGTCGCACGATTTGTTCGTTTTCTCTTATTTTTTTTTACGTTTTTCTCTTTTTTCTTTTAAACACGATCCCTGCCGCCGGTGCTCGTCGATAACAATAATCCTAATGTTTATTTTTGTTCTCGTTTTCTTTTTTCCTTTTTCTATACCACCAATGCTACACTCTCCATTTTTGCAGCCGTCGTATGCACACATACGATTATTATTACTGTGCAATATTTGTTTTATCATTTTTGCTCGTTTGTTTAACACGGTAGTAGCATCTCTCGTTTTGTCGCGCTCATGAACATTATAGCAGACAGTGGTTAAACATAGTTGTCTATCGGTTAGCAGTGATAGCAAAGAGTACACAACATCCTCTCTCTCTCTCTTTCTCTCTCTCTCTCTCTCACTCTCTCTCTCTTCCATTATTTTTTATTTTCTGTATTTCGCCTTTAAACTCTCGCCACGTTCACGCTCGTTCTTTCGTCCATATTCTTAGTAACAATATAATCCCAATTCCGTTTGAACCTCCTCGTCTTTTCATTTTGTATAATTAGTTACGCGTACGCCTTAGGCCCGAACCTCGCTGGCAGATTAGTCCTAGACCGATTTTATTTACTTTACTTTTATTTTACTTTTATCATTATATATTTCTCGTGTATAGATTAATCTATAAAAACGTCGGTGTCATGCGGTCTACGAGTATTCTACCATTTTTGTAGGATGCTTCGACCCCACGGTACGCAAATCATCCTTTCTTCGTCTTCTATTACAGTATAATTCATTATTATTAATTAGTATTATCGTATATGTATATTTATATTATTTATATTATGTATATGTATATATAATATATCCAGGATGACCGTGAGGGGTTGTAAAATAATGACAGAAAACTATCTCTCTCTTACATGAAAAATAGGTACTTCTGTTTTCCTCGCACGTGTGTAGGTGTATATGTTTACATATGTATATGTATGAAACGCATGTATAATATTCCTAGATTCTTATTTATTTATATATATATGTATATATGTACATGTATGCATATAGTCACATATGCAACGAAAGTGTACAACGTTCAACTAGGAAACGAATGGCACGTTTCTTTCACCCGCAGTATGCGCGTGTATATGTGTTTTCTCCTTTATGTACGTATGTGTGTCCCTTTCCCCTTTGTGTACGTATGTGTATCCCTTTCTGCGTGTGTGTTTATGTATGTCTTCTTCCTTGTATACATATGTGTCTCTTTTTGTGTGTGTATGTATGTGTCTTTTGTGTGTGTACATATGTGTGTCTTTTGTAATGTGTATGTATATGTGTCGCTTACTGTGTGTGTACGCATATGTGCTTATTGTGTGTGCGTGTGTCGTCATTGTGAATCGTGTACGTCGATGATGCGTTTAACGTAACGTGTCAAAAGTAACAGAGCAACGTTGCCGTTATTATAAATTAGACTCTTAGAAAGTTTCATTGATTAAAGAAGAGTATTATCGTTAACGGATGCGATCTAGGCTCGATCGAGTTGCGTCTGCAACATGGGCTTTCGAATTTTGTTTATTGCTTATTTATTTCATGTTTGTGGAACTGAATTGATGAACTGAATTTGGGAATTTTTGAATGAATAATTGATATTTTTTACTGATATTTTTTGACGAATAATTCATATTTTATATTAATCTTTTTGATAATTATGAGATAATTATTCTTTAATTATCATCAATTTTTATTTGAAGCTTAAATTAATTAAATTCTAGGGAATCAATTATGGACATAATCAAGTCATTGCAAAGGCAGAGACGAAGATAACATCTACCTTGAGGTAAATGTTATTGTACTATTTTAAATTAATCCTTCATTTGTCTTTAGACACGAAATGTTAATTAATATAATTACAATTATAAAGTATTAATTTTTCTTGCTTTGAGAAAGGTAAAATCCAATGGATTTCTCTGGAATGGCATATTTGTCTCTATAGTAACAATATATTTATTATTAATGTATTCATACTTAGAAAATAAAATATATGTAACTTTTTTCTTTAATTTATTTAAGATTAAAAGGATTAGATAATAATGAAAAATAGTCAAATTTGATTCGTATATTTATTGCTATATTACTTCTTTCATAACATAAAAGAATTCAAAGAATGAAATTCTAAAGTTCTGTAATTCTTTGATTTCTAAAGTTGTTAAATTCTCTTTCACACTTGAAAATGTTTAAATTTTCTCAAATCTGCAAGTTCCTATCAAATTTACAAATATGTGTGTTTAAAAATTTTTAAAGTTCAAAATTTTTTAATTTTTTAATGGTCAAATTCTTAAATCTCCAATACGTATATTTATGAAGTTAAAAAATTCCTCAAAGTAAAACTTGTACAAAACACAGACTATTAAATATTCTGATGATTCTAAAAAAGAGTTTGGTTTTGTATTTAAATTCGAAAGCCCTTGATCCAGAAAATCTTTCCTCAGAACCGAGTTTCTCCCCTCTCGGTACTCATAATAATAATATCAGATAAATTCAACAGTCGCGTTAAACTTTCAAAGAATAACACCATTAAAACGTATCAACAATTACAGGAAATAATAGAACATGTCTTATTCTATCTACGGTGAAAATATACGTCGTACTGAAATTGATTTACGAAATCAATATCATTTTGGAGAGGTAAAATTCGGGTCAGAATGTCCGTAAGTATCGGTGTTTCATTTTTGTCGGTGTTTAACCCTTCTCTCGCGTACAGTTAAAACGTTATATTTAATAATATCTTTGCAACACGGTATTGACCACTATGCATACTTTTATATGTATATGTATATATGTATACATATATATATATATGTATGTATATATAATATGTGTTATCTGTTCTCATTTTACGTCTTACTTCCTTTAATCTGCCTAGTTTATGCGGTAATGGATGTAATAATCATTGCAATGATAATCGGTAACAATAATAATAATAATAATTTATTACATAATATTTATAGCTTCCTCTTTAATCCGCCTCATTTCCTTTTCACTGCTTTTCTTATAGTACATCGCGTCTTTTCACCATCGGAATAAAAAGATACATCTCTTCATTGACGTGTTTAATTAATTATTTATCCATCTCTTCTCCCTTTCTTTCTTAGTTACGACAGCCCAAAGATCACTCAACAAGTTAACACGGTCTTTGGGCGGTTCGATTATTATTATTTCTTTAATAATTATTAATTCCCGTTTGTAGAACGACCTAAACCCCGTATCCTTCGCACCCTCATCCGGCTCTCCTCTCGCGTCGAATCTTTTTCTTCGTTATTATTTTCAGGACGGTCTTCCTAAATTCCAATTATGAAATGTTTAATAGAACTCGTGTTTCAGCCGTTTCGAACCGGATTCATTTTGATCTCGAAATTAAGATAACGGAGATAAATTCTTCAAGGTTCTACAATTTCCTTCCGCCATTTCGTTGGCATCTTCTTCCGTCCAATCGCCATTTTTGTTCCTCTTCGTTCACTCGAAGCTACAGTTAAAACACGTTAACAAACATACTTATAACCTCTCGAGTACGTTCTCTTCTATATCGTTAATTGTCCTTAGAAAAACAAAATAGAATCCTAGTCGTTCGTACAGATCATAACATCCCCCTCCCTTAATATTCTTCATTGTCTCCCTAAAGTGCGAAACGTCGGCTTTGCAAAATCACAGAGAAATTACGCATCGTTTAAACACTGTCGTTTTAGGATCTCTACCTAGTCCACGATGGGCTACGTATGTTCTATAAATTTCTAGGCCTGCTCTTCGTCGTCGTTGAGGTCTTCATCGTTCATCGCGTTGCATTTCCGCTTCGTGAAGATGAAGAAGCTCGCGGGCAGGAAACGGCTCCATGTTCTCCAACTGATGACACAGTTCTTCTTGTTCTTCTTTTCGAATTCAAACCCGTGTTCGGTCCCTGATCGCGGACCCTGAAGATACCGATCCTGAGCCCTACAGTTCCTTCTCGTTTATTGCTGTTGACGTTGAGAAAATAAAAATCTCAAGAAGGGAAAAATCAATGAGAGACTTCCGATCTGTGTCAACGTTGGAGAACGCTGGATATTTGTTGGTCCGCACGGTTTTACGCTTAGATCCTGGAGCGAACAGGTGCCGTCAGGTTAATATAAGAAGGCGCTAAAAACCGATCGCTAGAAGACTACTGGCATGGCGTATATCTATGTATAGACTGCTTCTAGTATAGCGTCCAGGATCTAGGCTTAAAACGGCCACCGGTGATCCTTCTTCGACAGCTGCTGACACTGTCGTCCATTGGAGCCGTTAGTATCTCTCTGTATGCTAGTATAACGAGTGTCGTCATTGATACGAGTCCTTGTGGAAAGTGTCGCTCTTGTGGAAGATCCTTCGTCCCTCTCTCGACAGCTCCTGGCTCGCGAAGTTGTTCTCAGACTTTGGTCTGGGTAACAGGCAAGCTGGCAAGGTCCTTAGCTCCATGCTGTGCACCTGTAAACACGTTCGCATTACTTTATAGTTTTCTTGAATTCAATTATTTTTCAATGAAAATTGTTTTCTGAAAGTCGGTAGGATTATTTCTGTATTATACAGCTGCCCTTCGTTATTTCAATATAAATAACACGATATAACGGGATGAATAATACGGGAACAAAGGTGACAATCCTCTTATAATATGGTATTCTTAGAACAAGGGTTCCGTATTATCTCAATATAAATCTGAATAACTTTCCTATAAGTTTCGCTTCAGAAGATTTTGATACAAGACGAATTATCGTATAATAGCAGGCTATATTAATCTTGAATACACCTTTCACACAAGTTGTAACTTCTCAATATAATTTTGTATTTGACTTCTTTTTTTATGAATATACACTTGTTATATTGCCGTAGATGGGACATAATTTGTGGTGAACAAACGCTTTTTTGTATTTGACTTCTTTTTTATTAGTAGACACTCGTTATATTGCCGTAGATAGGATATAATTTGTGGCGACCAAACGCTTACATTTATGATTTTGATCACATGATGTAATTTAAAATTTGATTATATGATGTATAATAGTACATGTGGCATTTATAATGTGCGACAGTTGTAGAGTGTGGTAATTGCAGTTTGCGGTAATTATAACACGTTGTAATTGCAGTATATAGTGATTGAAGTGTAACGCATATTAATCGCAATACACTTCAAATGCAGCGTGTGACAATTGCAACGCATGAGAAATGCAGTATGTAGTAATTGTAGTGAGTGATAACTGCAACTCTTAATAATTGAAGCGTGTGATTATCAACATACAAAAATTACAGACATAGCAATCGTAGCGCACGCTAAATGTAGCCTATGACAATTGTAAAGTGTAGTAATTGTGACGTATGGTAATTGTAGCGCGAAGTAATTACAGTGCACGGTAATGCGATGAGTAACAATTACATGCGCGTGGCAAATACAACAACTGACAACTGCAGTGCGTGACAAATACAGCGTGCGGTAATTGCAGCGCACAGTATTTACAGTGTATGATAATTGCAGTACATGGTAATTGTAACGCGTGACAAATGCAGTGTGACAATTGCAGTGCGTGGCAATTGCAGTGCGTTGAAAATGCAGCGAGTGACATTTGCACTGCGTGACAAATACAGCGTGTGGTAATTGCAATTACAGTGTGTGATAATTGCAACGCGTGATAAGCACAGTGTGTGGTAATTACAGTACATGGTAATTGTAGCGCATAGCAATTGCAGCACATGGTAAATGCAATATATAGCAATTGCAGTACGTGGCAATTGTAGCGTATTATAATTGTAACATATAGCAAATGCAGTGATTACAATTGCAGTGTGTGAAAGTTACAGTATACGATATTTGCAACGCGTGGTAATTATAGTACATAGCAATTACAACGTATGACAATTGTAGGGCGTAGCAAAGCTGCAGCCAACAATTGCTGCGTGTATCAACTGCAGTATATGAATGTTGCAACGAACTCTAATCATAGTATACGAAAATTGTAGCGCGTTGTAACTGCAGCATATAACAATTACAGCGTAAAGCAATTGCTGCACACGACAAATGCAGCGTATTACAACTGCAGCATATGAAAATTCCAGTATATGACAATTGCAACGCATGATAATCACTGTATATGGCAATTGTAACGCGTGTCAAATGTACCGCGTTACAATTGTAGTGCGTGACAAATGTAGCATCTTATAATTGTATCGCGTGACAGACAACATGCAACAAATGCAATACTTAGTAACTGCATCGTATATCAAATGCAGCGCATGCTAATTTCAGAATAAATCAATTACTAACGTGATAATCGCATCGCGATTACAATGCCTAGCAATTACAATGCATTGCAATTACGACGCGACAATTGTAGCATGTTGCAAATACAGCAAGTGACAACAGCGGTCGTAATTACAATGCGTGACAATTGTAACAGGTCGCAATTACAAGACATAGTGATTACGCCTCATAGCTGCTATAACCTGCAACAATTATCACGTATTTGATTGCAACTCGTACGATAACAACACACTGCATATACTGTGCGACAATCAATCTTTTGATAGGCTTGTTTCTTCGTAAACTTTGACTCGTTTATCCGGCAATATAACGAGTGTCTATAGTTTGATAAAACGATCGATATCATACGCGTTTGTCGAAAAATGAATTTATAAAAATAGTTCTTAATAGAGTGCTTTAACAAAATATATTTTTTGTTCTAAAAATTTGTGGTTAAGTTTATTTTACAAAATTAATTTTATACCATAAATTTATTTATGGTTAGGTTGACATAATTATTACCATAATTGGATAATTACCATAATTAATACATAATTAGGTTACCATAAAATTTATGGTATAAAAAAAATCCCAATTTAAAATTTTTATGCTCAAATTTTGAGTTTTTTTTATGCCTAAATTTTTCAAGAGCGAGAAAGAATGAAAAACAGGAAAAAATGTATGGAGGTGGCCTATTAGTATGTCTAAAGTTATATTTACCGATTCTTCACTAGCACTAGCATGTGCAGCTTGCTCGGCGAGCGCATTCACTACGGCATTTATCGTTTTCGACTCGCTGCCAAGATCCTCTTCACGGTGAGCCACCAGATTTGGATTCTTCCCGATTTTGTTCAACCTACAGACGAGAGCACAATTAAGCGTAGGGAATGTTGCATGGAACACAACCAACGATTATTCACATCGATCGACTTACAAACCGTTTAGCAGTACAGGTATTCCCTAAATAAAATCATTATCCCGCCGTTCACTTGTAACAGACTTGTAATTATTCGTTCTAATACCACTTGCACCGCTAAAGGTTTCACAATGTGAGGCAAAAGACTGGGTAAAGGAAAGTCGGTAGCTTTGAAATGCGATTCGCAGAATCACATTCTAGCATCTTTAGATTTTACTCCTTCACATTTCATTTCTTGGACAATAAACTTTCTACTCGAAATTATCAATTAATCTTAAATTATGCATCATGTTGGAATTCCTGACAATTTAGAATTATATTGTGCTAGAATTTAGAAAAAGTATACAGGGTGTACTAGGTTTTAGCGACTAAGTGTTGATATATTTTATGGGCAGATGTAAGAAAAATGTTATATAAATGTCTTTTGTTAATAGCATTTTACGCACTACAAATTATTTAAAGAATGTTGACCACAATTTTCAAGTAAAAGCTGAGATTAATAAGAATAAAAGGTGATTGGTGTATTTATGTTACGGATTGTATTATTCTCATAATCTTTTAGTACAGTTTTAAAAAACCTATAACATATTCTTCATAATATTTCATAACACTTTAAAAATGTTCATAACATTTTCTTCTTAGGTCATTACATAGAATATCCCACATTTGGCCATTAAATCTTAGAGCACTCATCTTTCACAGAATTTACCTTGCCATCTTAAAAGAATTTTTACCATATCTCAAAGCAATACTATATTATTTTCAATAAATTATAACATAATTCAACTATTATTCTTAAAGAAAAGTAACATATTTTAAGCTTTACAAACTGGTAATTTTAACTTTTGCAAATATCAGGTTTAGGAGAAAGTTAATTAAATATATTACCGAGGATTGATTTCAATTTCAAAATGAAATTGAAGAAACTTTTGCCGATGTACCTGATACAATGTTTGATTAAACTTTCCAAGTGCGAATGAATGTGACTCTGCGTAGATGCTGGCAAAAACCGAGAATCCAACTGATTTATAAAGTATGTTATGCAAACTTATCAATACAACATTACTATGTAAGTGAATGTGTCGAGAGTGTAGAAATATCTTGTCGCGGTGTAATTCCTTCCACTTTCCTCTAACTTTCCTTCAGAACTTCGTTCGACGCGTGGCATCCGTAAGCGGATGCGTCACGCGTGTCGCGAGAAACATCAATTCGTCAAAACCCTGTCAATCGGGTGTAAACTTTGACAGGGTTTTGATCGCAAGTCAGTGCGCTTTTCGTAAATCCAATGATCTCCCCAAACAATCATTTGTCCGATCAGTTAAAGAGTATTCTCGCGTCGGAATCGGCGTCACAAGTCTTCTCTTTGTGTGTAATATGTAAGAGTGTATGTAAAACAAGCACATCGAGTCCAAATCAGCGCATAATAAATACATAGAGAGAAAACTGAACAATCGAAGATACAATGTTGAAGAGAAGCGACAATGAGATATGTTTCGACAACAACACGGATGACCGAGAACCCGAGAAGCCTCGTCGGACAGTACACAATGTTTCAACAAAATCAACATGGAAGTGGGAGTGATGATTGACATCTATTAGCACACCAACTCGATAGAACAAACCTAACCAAAGCTTATACCTCTCGGCGGCAACGCTTTCCATCGTTCTGCGCATTAGTGGATACTGGTCCAACACGGCGTTGAAGTGATCCACCGAGAGGCTGAAGAGATTGCAGTAGGTTTCGGCACGAACGGACGCCACCCTCCTGGCGTTCGTCAGCAAGCAAATCTCGCCGAAATAGGAGCCGTCCGACAGCGAGGTTGCCACCTCTCCGTTCGCCATCACGATGTCGACTATGCCTTCTTGTATGAAGTACATTTTCGAACCGATCGTACCTTCCTTGATGATGATGTCACCTGCAAAAATCACACTCGTCACGCACCACTACGACACTCCTCCACCGACATTCATTTACTGATCAAAACGTCACGCACCTGGCTGGAAGACTTCGTATCTCAGTTTGGTAACAACATCAGAGACAAAGTTCGAGTCGGCGTTAGCAAAGAAGGGTACGGACGCGACTAACGATCTGCAGTTGTAGTTGATCACGTCCTGAAATCGAATCAAACGATTAGAGATGTGAAGCTTCTATTATGGTGCTTTGGATTTAATTATGTATCTAGCGAGGGTATTAGTTTCGTACCTCTCTTAGTTTCTCCGAGAGCTCTCCAAGAATCAGTTCTTCGTCGAAGAATTTGCCTTGGTAACGGTGCTCGAAGTACTCCGTGATCCTCTGTCTCATCTCTCGCGGTAATTTCCGGTAGGCCATGTATTCCTCCACTTGTTTCACCTAGTTTCAGCGACAATTATTTATTTCTGCCCTTCTCAACTTTTATGGGACTTTAATCTTGATTAGGGTCATGATGGTTCCTTTAACGTTTCAAATACAGTGATCGCTCGATAAACACCCGGATTATGGGCTTTGGAGGTTGGCTTATTCCTGAAGCGGTTATTTATCGAGCAGCCAGTAGCATACTGGAGCATACTGGACTGTGTATTTTGACAAACTTTCGTTAATTTTAAAAGTATAAGCTTATTTTAAAGAATTAATTCAGAATAGCTTGAAAATTTTCGTTGAAATAAGTATTTTTAATATTTCACGTGTGAAGGAGCAGTATTTTAACGGTTATTTATCAAGCAGTCAGTTATACTATTGTATCTATGTATGTGGGCCATGAATTTTGAAAAACTTTCGTTAATTTTAAAAATATAAGAAGTACAATATAAACAGTTAAGTCTGAATAATTTGAAAATTTGCTTTGAAACAAATATTTTTGGTATCATTTCGTTTGTGAACGAGAGGTGTACTAACAGTTATTTATCGAGCAGCCAGTCATACAACTGTACCTATGCATGCGGGCCATGAATTTTGACAAACTGCCGTTAATTGTAAAAATATAAGAAGTGTATTATAAACATTTAAGTCTAAATAAGTTGAAAATTTGCATCGAAACAAAAATGTTCAGTATCACTTTGTTTGTGAAAGAGGGGTGTACTAGCAGTTATTTATCGAGCAGCCAATGATAAAATTATACTGATGTACATTGTTGGACATGAGTTTTTACAAACTTTCGACAATTTAAAAAATATAAACTTATTTTAAAGAATTAATTCAAAATACTTTTAAAAATTTAGTTAATACTTAGTACAGTTACTTATCGAGCGAGCACTATACTGACCTGCACTTATCAAATCACGAAAAGCATTGAAGCTCTACTTTCATAAATCGAATGAATATATAAATTTTTTAAGACAAATAAACCTAAATGAATAATTTCTTTGGTAGAGTTGAATTCAGGGCAAATTTTATACGCGTGCAGAGGGATTTCATTGAAAATCCACATTTTAATTCCAAAGGATTTAACGAGGCAGACAAAGGTAAGGAAGAAAAATAAGGCTTCTTAAACGCAGTTGTTTGCTTCTTGAATGCTAATTACCTTCTCGCGGTATTGTCTTCTCGAGGAATCGAGAGATTGAATGAGATTCGTGGCGTGTCCAAGGAAAAGTGCATAACAGGTAGCACCGCTGATCATGCTTAACATAGTTAGCCACATGTCGGTCAAGGACTGCGGTGGAAACCTTCCGTATCCTATGCAGAGCATGTGCGACATGGCTTTGAAAAGAGCCCATGAGTATTGTTCCAGCCAAAATGAGTCCTGAAAGTATGGTAATAGAATTTTAAAAACTGTTTTATGATTACGTGTACTTGTACCTATTTTATGAGATTCTTTTTCCATGTCAACAGATTTTTTTGTGCCATCGTTACAGATGATGATTTATGTCGTTCTCAACCTGCACCCCACCTGACTTAATATTGAAAACATTTTCTTTAATAAATAAATACATACTTAATATTTTTTTATTATAATTTTGTGGCTCGTTTGAAATAGCTGTTATGTGTATATGGTACAAGAAAAGAAAATGTCGAGTATTGATGATGATATCAATTTATAATATTGAACCAATCAATTATTTAAATATTTAAATGACTGTGAATATAGCAAGTCATACAAATATGGTTTTTAAATATTTTAATATATTGAAGATTGTATGTAGGTAGTTTTAGTATAGACTGAACTACATGCAGATTAAGTTATATAAAGCTTTATGGATTCATGTTTGAAACTGATAACTTCAGGTGAACTATTCATGTTCATAATTAGGAAGTTTTGAAGTACAGTGTTTCTAAACTTCTGAGGACACAAAATTTCAAATTTTGAAAGATTGAAAATATTGATGTTACAGATTCTACGTGTAAAAGTTTCAAATCTAAACAATTTCATGGTACCAAGGCTTTAAATTATCAAAATTGAATAATTCAAAAGTGCTAAAATCTGTAAATCAAGTTCTAAAAATCTAAAGTTTCCAAATCATAAAATTCAAATCTTAATCATTTTGAAGTTTAAAGATTTCATTACTCCAAAATTTTTAACTATAGAACTCTAAAATCCTACATTCCAAAATCCCAAAATCGCAATATTTGAAAACTTAACCCTTTGCAATATGATTTATTTGCCAAGTGCGTCAGTCCGAAATAACTAATCACAGCTACAATATTAAAATAGGCAAAGCAATTTGAAATGTTAGGTATTATGCAATCGTCGACTATGTGAATTATAAATGAACTTGAGCTTCAAATTGAATCATATTAAAAATGTAAGTAAAATTGATCACACTTGAAGTATGAGTGTGTCACGAGTCAGACTAGTAAAAACAGTGCAAGATGTTAAAAATGTCAAAATTTCAATGTCCCATAAAACTTAAGACCCCTAAAACACAAAAACCTAAAAACTTATAATCTCAAAATACCCAAAACCCAATAACACAAACCCCAAAAATCTAAGAGCCAGAAAGTTAAAAAATTCTAAAACACAAAGTTACAAGAGTTTCGGAATTTCAAGAATTGACGAACCAAAAAACTAAAAGCTCTAAGATCAAAAATTTCAAAATTGTCGAACTCAAAAAACCCAAACTTCTAGTATTTCGAAATTTCAATGTCCGGAAGGTTCAAAAACTTGAAATTCTAAAATTCCAAGAACCCAAGAACTCGAAAACCCAAGAACCCAAGAACTCAAGAACACAAGAACCCGAAAATCCAAAAACCCAAAATCCGAAGAACCGAAGATCTGAAGAATCCGAAAACCCGAAGATCTCAAGAACCCGAAAATTCGAAGATCTCAAGAACCCGAAAACCCGAAAATCCGAAGAACCCGAAAACCCAAACACCCAAAATCCAAAGAACCCAAAAATCTAAAAATCCGGAAACTCGAAAGCCCAAAAACCCAAAATCTTAAGAATCCAGAAACCCCAGAACCCAAAAATCCAAAATGCCAGAATTCCAAAAATCCAAAGACCCAGAATCCCAAAGCCCTGAAAACTCAGTGTCTCAGAATTGCAAGAATCTCAAAACGCGAAAACTCATGACCCCAACAAAAAAAACCTCAAAAACACAAACTTCTAAAATTCCCAAATCCGAAAACCCTATAATTCCAAAGATACATGAGCCTCTAATCCCCAAATCCCTAAATCCCAAAATTTCAATGTCCAAAAATCCGAAAGTTTCTAAACACGAATAAATTCGTAAGAGTGCATAATACTTACTTGTAATTCATTGATGGCGACCCAGGAGTTACTAGGAAATCCTTGGAGCATAGGGACCAGGAATTGCAGGCAACCACTCCAGTGGCCGATTAGGAGCATCATGCAGATCAGGTTAAAAATCCGCATGAACACCGACGCCATATTCAGGAACTGCCAACAACAACGACAAAGGTTTATTCTCGTGCCGGTTCCGGTTGCCGGTGTCTTGTTCACACTTCGGTTAAAAACTTCTCTCGTTATCCAAAGCTCCGGTTGCGTAGTGTACAGCAAATAAGCGAGTGTTGCACAAAAACGCGTCAAAATATTAATTCACTGAATACATTGTCAAAACTATCGTAGTAATTGTTATTCAACATCTGAGTCAAGGATCAAGTAAACTACCTGACGTTCAGACCCGAATCTTCTTTTATTCAATATTCACTATTTACTATTAACATCATTACAATTTTTATTATTTATAGATATCGTTACAACATTTCAATATTAAATTGTCTTGTCTTTCGCGTTTGGGAAGGTTAAGAAATAATGAAATGGCACGTTGAGTGTCACGAGGATGAGCGTCAAAATGGACGCAATATAGACATTTTTTAACACGTTGATTTTGAAGCAATTGAAAATTTAATATTTTTATTCTCAACAAATTTTACTGAATATTTTGTATATTACTAGTTCTAGGTAGTTAACACGAATTTTTCAGGTTAGGTTAGCGAAATTATTAACCCCCTTCCGTACTTTGACGAGTCTCACTCGTGACGCACTTACAGGTTAAATGTGACAAACCTTACATAAATTTTAAATACTCTTCAACTTGAAATTTATGTCCAGCTAAAAGTCATATTATCAAGGATCCTTGAATACAAAATAGTTACAATATTTTAATTTTCTATGTTCGTTTTAATGTTATAGCTCTGAATAGTTAGTCTTGACTGACGCATCTGTTAAATAAATGGCACGAGAAGGGGTTAATAATATAGATGATAAATTCGTGTGACAACTTAGGAGTCACATATATGTTTGTTGACATGGTAGTTGAAGTATTAATACATTTTCTACCGTATTTTGTATTCTAGTTCATTTTGTGTTGCAATTCTCATGTCATTATGTTATCAGTAATTATTAGTTTACACTACTGATGTTTATTTCTAATTTAATTACATTATTATTAGTTAAGTATTTATTTAGTTGAATGTGTTTACGGGTGACACCGATTGATTTGAAATTTGTGAAATTGCCCATACAGGCGTGAAAAGTCATTAGGGTGAATGTCAATTAGCGCATCCTTGAGATATTGGTTGCCTTAAGGTACGAATATCCTGTTGGGTAATATAGAATCATTTAAGTTTGGTTAAGTTTGGGTTAGACTTCAGCTAATTTTGAGATCGATTTAAATTAGTTTTTAGTCAGATTTGTGTGAGTTTTGGATTATTTTCGAATTAAATTTGATCGATTTTATATTTTGTCGATCTATGTGTTAGGTTAGGTGTTAACTCGGGTTAGTGTTAGGTTAGGTTAGGTCAATGACAGTGTGATCTAATCTAGGTTAGATTCATGTCACTGTTAGGGTAACTTTCTATAATTTTTGGATAAGATTTGTGTTACATTTTGTTTCATACGTTATTCACATAAAAATTTATACAAGTTTGATTAGGTGAGGTTAGGTTATGTTCATGTTACTGTTAGAGTAGGTTTCTATAATTTTTTGATAAGATTTGTGTTACATTTCGTTTAATACGTTATTCACGTCAAAACTTGTACAAGTTTGGTTAGGTTTGGTTAGGTTAGGTTAATTTACTTTAAATTTTTGTATTAAATTTGAAGTCAAACATAGTCCAATAGATCCAGTCATTTTAACTAAAAGCTTGTTTACGTTTGAATTCTGTTTGAATTAGTTTCGAACTACGTTTGAGTGATGTCCGTATTCATTTTGGATTAATTTTGAGCGAAGATTAATTTAATTTTGATTTAGATTTAGTCTGATTGACTCAGTTTTCAAAATTTATACAAGTTTGATTGAAATGACTTTGAGTTAATCTTGAACTACATTGAGTTATGTTGGACTAATGTCTTAGTTATATTTGTTTTAACTTTGAAGAACATTTCTTTCAAGTTTGCGTTAATTTTGGACTGCCTTTATGGTTGACTTGTATTTTTGTGACTATAATTTTTGTAATTTTGCAAAACGTCTGAATTACTTTTGAGTTACGTATTAAGTTACGTTTATATCAACTGAATCATCGCAATCAAAATATGTACAAGTTTAGTTAAATTTGAAATAGTTTGAACTTAGGTTACAATTCAGATTAAATGTGCCCTCACACAAAACATCTGCAAGTTCTTTTAGAATGTTAGTTTCTACATTACCTTTTTCAAGATTCATACAATTTATCAGTCACATTTAAATTTGCCTTAAATTACTATGATTGACTTACGTTTGTGTTGGACTTGGTTCAGCATTATCACTAATTTACAAATTCAACAATATTAATTCTGTTATTTTTCACTTATGTTTCAGTAAAATTTGTATACGACATAATAAAACGACACCATGCAATATGGGAACATTCCCCATCTAAGTTTCACCTCAGTTATTTAATATTCTCTGTCTAATCACATCATCCACGATACTGTCCCTCGTGACAATCAACACATCAATTATTTGTAAATTCCACTACTTCCTCCACCAAATTAAACATTTCGGGTCTGAACGCGAACGTTATCAGTGTCTTTTCTCTCCTAAAGTAGTCTCCGCTGTTCATACTTCCGGGTTTCAGTTTTCAGTTCAATAAAAGCATGCTACATTAGAAAATACGCATCACGTGGCACACAAAAGAACAAGTCAATGTAACCTAAAGAACGTTTATAGTAGTATATTACTCTACGAATGCTCTAACAGAAGAAACCAAAGAAAAAAAAAATAAAAACGAAAAACAATGTATACAATATATATGTATATATATATATATGTATCAGTCATCTGCATTGATTAGGCCAAGATTCTCAGACCCGCTTATGGGGCCCACCTGTTCAGAACTTCTCATGTTTTTGTCAGAATGGTCACCTTGCAATTCCAACTAATTGCAATCTGAATTGCAAACTGTTCGACCGAACAGTGCGCCATAAGCACGATATGGGAATCTAAGTCCTTGCTAAGAAAAGAAGCTGGAGAACGCAGAAACCATTCCGAAGAGAGAATCACTGTATTAGATTGCTTCCTTTTTTTTGGGGGGAATTTTTTTGCAGGTTTTAGAATGTGCAATACTGTACAACATTTTGCGAGCTGAATTTTTATTGTTCGGTTATTTTCAGGTTGATTGTGGGATAATAGGGATTATCCCTAGATTATAAATACGGTTGAAAGATTATAAATGTCCTTAGATTATAGAGATTATCGTGGGTTATGAATGGTATGGGATTATAATAAAGTGAAATATATGTATTTTGATGCATGGTTTCAGACGGTAGTTTAAGCTTTCTAAATTTAGGAAATTTTTAATTTTTTAATGGAAAGATTTTACATTTGTAAATTTGTAAATTTGAGAATTTGGAAATTTTTAAATTGTTGAGAACAAGAATTTTTTTATCTTTTGATTTCTTGATTTCTGATTTTTCTAATTTTTTTAAATTTTCCAACATTTCCCTCATTTTCAAAATTTTGCAAACTTTTCTAATTTTCCTAAGTTTTCCTAATTTTCATAATTTCCCCAATTTTCCTAATTTTTCTAATTTTCTAATTTCTCAATTTTATAACTTTGTAATTCTCGAATTGCATAATTTCCTAATTTTCTAAAATTTTTAATTGCCTAAATTCTCAATTATGCAATTTCCTAGTTTTCTAATTTTCCAAATTTATTATTTTCTAATGTAACAATTTTCCAATAGTACAATTTTCCAATTCCTTAATTTTCCAATTGCCTAATTTTCAATTTTCTACTTTCTTAATTTTTCAATTGCATTTTCTTTCAATTTACATATTTCCTGACATTCTATTTTTCCATTTTCCTAATTTTCAAATTTTCCTAATTTCTCAGTTTTCCGATTTTTCAATTATTTAATTTTCCAATTTCCTGATTTCTTAATTTAATAACTTTCTAATGTTTCGATTTGCATGATTTCCTAATTTTTCAAATTTCCAATTATATAATTTTCCAATTTCCTAATTTCCTAGTTTTCTAATTTTCCAAATTTGTAATTTCCCTATTTAAGAATTTTCCAATTTCTTCACTTTCAAATTTGCTAATTTTCCGATTTCTCAATTTCCAAATTTCCTCAATTTTTCAATTTCTTAACTGCCTAATTTTCTAATTTCCAACTTTCTTCATTTTTCAATTGCATTTTTCAAATTTATATATTTTCTAATTTTCTAATTTCTAATTTTCGTTAAAATTTCCTAATTTCCTAGTTTCTTAATTTTCAAATTTTCCAAATTGTATTTAACTTTTTAATTTCTCAAATTTCTGATTTCTTAGTTTTTCAATTTGGCAATGTCCTGATTTCATAATTTCCATGTTTAATAACTTTCAACTGCATCACATTCTCAACCTTCTGATTTTTCAATTTCCAAATTTTTCCAATTTTCCACGTTTTTCTTATTTTCCTAATCCTCATATTTTTCCAATTTGCTAATTTCGCAATTTTCACATTTCCTGACTTTCCAACTTCACAATTTTCTAGTTTTCACATTTCCTGACTTTCCAACTTCACAATTTTCTAGTTTTCATATTTCATAATTTTCAATTTACAATTTCTTAATTTCTTAATTTCCTAATTTCCTTAATTTTCCATAATAACTATTTTTTTTAAACATAACAGTAAAATAACCTAATTTCATTTTCAACCCTAATACCCCAAAATATCAGTTAAAAAATAACATATTTATTTCTTACATTTTTAAACTAAAATGTTTATAATGACTATTTTTTAACGTATTAGTAAAGTAACCCAAATTTTATTAACTAATTTTCAACCCCAATACACTGAAAAGTAAAAATGAAAATAACATAAAAGTTAAATATAAAATAACATATTTCTCTTTTTCATTTTTTATTTAAACTGCTGAGAAGTATCTGATTTTTCAATAAACCCGTAAAGTAACTTAATTCCATTTTCAACCCCAATACACCAAAAAAATAAAAAAAATGTAAATGTTAACA